TTTTATCCTTCTTTTAAAAATCATAACTCGTGTGCACCACATATAATACACACGACAGACAAAAGGTAAAGGTAAAGAGAAACTGTGACGTTGGACACTATAGATTTCTTTAACCCTTTGCCTATCCAGATCATTTTCATGTGTACTATCCAAACATTCATGCTTGTTTTCAGATTTATAACTATTGCAAAACAACTCAGTTCATTTGTCAAATAGAATGTGCTGATATATTGAGTTTCACGTAATAAAAACACGTGACGCACAGGTTATAATCATTTCAATAAAGTAGAAAAATAGATGTCTTTCATTTGAGACCTTACATTATCATTCAAGTGTCCTGTGGTCATATATGATGCATAAAATATTGGATTAGGCCTTTCCTTAGACCTCATGCTCAACAGTAGACTCTTTTCTTAAACGTCCTTAGTTTTATCACTCTTTTGAAATCATGTTTCGTGTGCACCACATATGGTGAACAGAAGTGGAAATCACATGTCTTGTGCATCACATATGATGCGCAGGACAGGTAAACAATTAAGTAACATCTAAGTAGCAAAATATTATAATCTCATCCAGATTTCATTTGCTGGAAAATTACATGATCCAATACCAAAAATTTTGTTATTGCATTTCTGAATGATTTTCAAACTGTTTAGTCAGTGATAGTATTAGTTAAAATAATAATTTCCTTTAGTTTTTTTTATCATATGGTATTATTTTTTTCATGTATTATTATAGTATATTAAATAAAGACTTACTTCTTTTTCTTGTCTTATTCCGTATATATCTATTTTAATGTATATCTTAATGTAGAGAATTTTCTCAACTCGTAAACTACATACTTTACTGATGCATTATTCTGGGAGATTAGACTTGGAAGTTAAATCACGTAGTTAACGAGTGCCAAACTCTTTTTTGCACAATGGTGAACATGATGCAACCAAGTGTTAAGGTAGGACTTAATTCAGGTAACTTGCTTTCTCCTTATCTTTGTCTCCATCTATCTCTTTCACACACACAAACAAATACCCACACTCTTCATTGATTGAGATATTTTGAAGTCAGCTGGCACTAAAACATGGTTTCTGTGTTTCTGCTTTGTTTTTGTGGTCTTTCCTTAACATTTCAATGTTAATGCCTTGCCTCATCTTTACAAGAGTCAGATCAGATCCAAAATGGAGTATTGCTGCTATATCTGGGCTGGAGATGCCAAATCCAAAAGAGTTTACATGGCCTTGTAGGTGGCGAATGATTCCTCTCCCATAGACATAATGTTGCAAGCCTCTCATTACTCCATCACCATTGAGCATTACTCCATAGTTCCCCCAGTTCAGACCAGTGGCGGACCTACATTTTTAGGGCCCTGAAGCTTGAAGATATATGGGGTCTCTTTGCAACCAGCAATAATAAATTTGAGGATCTACCTGCCAAAATGTAGGCTATGAATAGATTTTGATGAGCTCAACGAATCCATACAGCTGTGGGTTCAGGTGTTGCAAGTCCACAAGAACATTTTGAAATTTGACTTATTGCAGTGGAATTTTGAGGCCATATGTAATGGGTATTAGAGTATATTCTAAAGCCAATATTAGCTACTTCAACCCATTGGCTTGGGATTCTATTGTGCGAGTCTATCACGCACGAACATACATACATACAAATCACATACAACACCAAGCATTCATTTGTTAATTAATCACCATGACATTATTATAGGCAATTTACAAATTTCAGCAATGCAACAATTTTGTAATCGTTTTATTCTCATGTAGTCAGTTTTGTGCTCTTTTGGGAGAAACGGATCACAGAAGGTTTCTTAAGTCTCCCCAAAGCTCACTCGCTGATTGGTCTATGCCAACCAATCAGATTGTCTGCAAGTGAAGAATAATTCTTCCCACACAGCAATCTCGAGCCTATAGTAACTTATTAAAGCAAGAATTTTTCTTAGTTATTTAATGAGAATTCAGCTGCCAAACAAATCCACGACAGTTGAAACCTTCTCACTCACACATACCACTCACATGCTGAATGTATATACTCACATAATCTTTTCTAACACGACAAATCTTTTAAGAACAGTCATTATAAGAGACTCTCATGAACATTCTTCCAGTGAACTTTGAAATACTAAAATAACAGTTAAAGAGAGACAACTCTTGTTTATTTCAACCTTTTCTTACTTAAATGCATGCTTTCTTTCACATTGTTGTTTGATATTGTACATCTTGTTAAATATATATTTTATGTGTAACAATGTCTTTGGCTTATCCTTTTCTGCATCAGCCCTGTTTCCTAATCTAAAGTTAAATTAATGTGGTGAAGTCCGCCACACTATCACTAAAATGGAGTTTATTTTAATAAGGCTTTAAAAAAAAAAAAAAAAAAAAAAAAACTCAAAAAGCAACAGTTTTGTTGAAAAATTCACTGATTAAAAAATGTTGATTTAGGGACCCTTCTAGTAGTAGGGTCATGAAGCTTAAAATTCATTAGTTTCTGTAGTAGATCTGCCACTGGTTCAGACCTTTACAGCTAAGACCTGCCATGCCACATACACAGGACTGAAGCATCCTTATTTCCTTGGTATTCCATTTGTAAGGAAGAAGTTCCATTCAGGCATCTTGTTCCCAAGTACTACTACTTTATGGCACAAACTCCCGAGAGGAGGCTTCTCTGAACACTACAATATTAACCTCTTCAAGGTTAACTGTTATCTATTCTATATATTCTTATAATCTGCACCACCTACATTCATGCAACAACCTTATTTATTTGTCCTCTAGCTTTAGTGGCTCTTGGGCCTTGTATCGGGTGAACATTTAGTTAAAAAAAAGAAAAAAAAGATCAATTTGTTATGTGGTGAGTTTGATGGTACGAATTGACTGCTCTACTCAAAAAAATAAGGAAATAATTTTTGTACATTAGAATTTATTAAACCTTCATTAACTCACAACATTTGTCAGAATAATAAAAGTATTAATTTTTTATCATTTTAGAAGATAAGGTCTTGTTCGTAATATTGATGCAGTGTAAAATTGATCCCTGAATTTTTAAAAGAGTTATCTGTACTTAGTTTTTATTTATAAATGTCAAATTTGAAACTGTTGCTTACATCATTGATATTTGCATATTTTTTTGAGCTCTGGTAAAAAATGGTTAGTGAGACATTAGGTTTATAAGTTCCAAAAATTCACTCACTGGCGTCCCCAGGGACACATGGCCCAGTAACCACAAGTGATCCCTTTTATCATGATGATGGAGAGGGTGATGTTCAAGTGATTCCTTTTATCATGGAGGTGGATGGGTGATAGTCAATTGATCCTTTTTATCAAGGTGGGGGAAGAGTATTGTTAAGTGGTCCTTTCATCATGGGGTGGTAGTGAATGTTTAAACAATCTGAATATCGAATCCAAGTTCAATGCATGTAATAGCGATTAGAAGGATCTGTTGATTTTTTTAAATAAAATAACAAACAAATTTAAACTTTTAATGAGAAATTTATTTAAATAGAAATCCAGAATGTAGAAACTTTTGCTCATCTTAAAAAAAAAAAAACACCAAGTGCAATTGATTGACTTCTGCATTAAGGGAAGAAAGAAAAAAAAAAAGGAAGGAAAAAAAAGGTAAAAAAGAAAGAAAAAAAAAGAAAGGAAAAAAAAAAAGAGTAAAAAACAGAAGAGAAAAAAAGAAGGGGATTCAGAGGTTGGAGGAAGGAAAACCTAACATCTCTCTAGTTATATCTTTCCTACCCTACCCAAATCTTTTATCTCAATTGTGAAATTAATGAAAAAAGATTTCCAGCATACATATTTCTTCCATTATTTTCTTTCTTTTTAGTGGGTTTCCAGACAGACTAATTTTTTTTTGCTATCAATCCAGAAATTTTTTTAAAATGAATTTTTCATTTTTAAACTTTTTTACCATTCATAATTGTTAGTAACATAAAAAATATTATTAAAATATTTAAGAACTATTTATTTTGATTATTTCTATCTTTAAACTCTGATTTTTGTGCCCTGCACCGACTATTTGGAAATTTATTTGTTTTTAATGTATTTACTACAGGCTGGAAGAAAATTTTAAAAAAGCTAACATATTCAAGCTTTAAAAATGAAAAAAAAATTCTAAAAACAAATTCATTAAATTTTACTGTAATTTTCATAAAAATCACATCTTTATTTTTATTTGTTTCAGTTAAATTCTTTTATGAATAATTTTACTCAGAAATGTTCTTAATTTTCAAACTCAGTGTAACTTTTATGAAACTTAATTATGCTCTATCCATTCATTTTCTATATAAAGAATAATAAATATATTTCAACAATTCCCAATGAAATATGGGCAAATTTGGTGCCTGCAAAAATACATTTCAAAAAGACGTTTTTTTCATTGACACTTATTATTTTAACTATATTCACTCCCTTGGCAATGTTTATTTAAAATTCATAATGGGGAAAATATTTTTGTTGTAAATTCTCAAGAACAAAGAAAATTCATAAATTCACTTTCATATATTTAGGTTTTATTACAGTTCTAATTATCGCTTTTTAAAATAACATTCCGAGGAGTGAAGGTAGTTAAAATAAAAGCAGTGTCATGGGAAAACCGTCTTTTTGATATTCTGTTTTTTTTTTTGTTTTTTTTTTGGCAGTTATGAAGGTACATGTTTGTCCATTTTTTAATAGCAGCCTTTTAGTTTGATTTTTCAAAATAACACTTGCTTTATTTTTCCAATTTTTATTTATCCTATAAAAATTAGAAAGAACAATAAAAAAAATAAGAACTAAAATGATATGCCTATAATATCTTAAAGGGTTTTTTCGAAAAACCCCATGCTATTAATGCTGTGATAATGACCCACAGTAGTAACAGAAGATAAAGGATAATTCCTTGTGTGCCAAGTTGAAAAGTCCATTCTAGAAGGCTTGTTAAAGAGATAAGAGATATTATATAAACAACAGGCTGTACAAAACTGACACTATACAATTTTAAAGTCACTGTATTCAATGTAGATATTCAACTTTCAGACATTTGGCAATTGTGTTCAGCTGGATATTAGAAGTTCCTTCATAAATTGTTCCTGAAAAGATACAAAAAATCATTTGAATCAGTCTTGAAAAATTACCAACAAAATTCAAAAGTTGGTAGAAATTGGATCAAGATAATTTTATATAATTAAACAATTTGAATATTAAACAAAATCATTTTTAATTTCATTATTCACATTCGAATGAGATATGACATGATGATGACATTCTCAGCTGATATGAGGTGGAAAGACTACACTGAATCCATTGCTACATCAGCTGCTAAGAAAATTGGTTCAGTGTCATGAGAGACAATTTCCCCTCCAGAATCCTACAAATCTATAAGTCTATCATTTCATGCTTAGAATATTGCTACCACATATGGTCTGGTGCTCCTGGTATTATCTAGAGCACCTTGATAAAATCCAGAGAAGAATCAGCAATATTATTGGCCCTGATCTGGTGTCTCAGCTTCAGTTACATTCCTATTATCACAAGATTGTCTCCATTTTCTATAAATACTTTAAGGGTAATTGTTTGAATGAGCTCTTTGCTATGGTACCTAGACTTTTTCAATTTAAGTGCAAGATTGGTGACAAGGTCTCATTAATTTACAGTTGAAATGGCTAGATGTAACCATAAGTTCTATGCTAACAGTTTCTTTTCTCATACTTCTTGCTTGTGGAACTCTTCTGGCTTAATGCTTTCCAGTCAAATTTAATCTTCAAAAATTTAAATGTAATGTCAATTGCTATCTACTGTCCTCCTGATTACTCTTTTTGTTCTCACTCATTAGTAATATTTCTGTTTCTAATTCTTTCACATCCATTGTATCTTAGTGGCTTTATTGCTTTGCATGGGGTGAACTCTATTATAAAGAAAAAAATGTACAGGAAAATTTGCATGTCAGTACTGTTTTTGTTTTTTTTTTTTAAATATATCCAGGCCTCTAATTACTGTTATATCTGTAATAATTATAAAAGATATAATGGTAATTTTAATGTTCAACATGTTTTTTCAATTTCTATTTACATCTGTCTGAATTTCTCAGATGAGCAGTTATCAGTATTTACATGTGGTCTGTTATCTTCATCTTTGTTGTTATCATCACAATGCTTCGGCTCTCATGCCCTCATCAGGTGTATGTTGATCTGGGTAAGCTAGGGGGAATTTCGAATTCAACACTTTATTTAATTTTAGGGGTAGATTGTTCTCCTTCCACTGCCTGTGTTTAGGATATCTTATCTAGTTCTTATTTTAGTATGGCTCAGTTCATTTGTACAGAGTCTAAATACACATTCCCCAGATCAGGGATTGAACTCACAATTGCTATATCACCAAATTCATGAACCAATGCTTTAATTCACAAGGCTATTGTCCTGTGGGAAATGGACAGTAAAACACAATTAATCCCTATAATTGCTTATTAATTACTTATTAATTTCTATAAAAAACCTTATAAAATCTGGACATATTTTTTAGTTTACCGTAAGTACTTGCCTACTTCATGTATAGTGTGACCCCTGAGTTTTTTCTGAAAAATCTGATTTTTTTCATATAGTTTGTGTATAATATAACCCCAGTTTCTGAGCAATACTAGTAGGCCTACTGTAGTCAAATATTGCAGTAGTGGGTATCATCCTGGACCTATTTTGTACCAAATAAACAGTCTTCATTCTTTTTTTGTACAAAGCTGCCCCAAAATAGTGAGAAAAACAACTTAGTATAAAATATCTAATAGAAAGATTTAGATATTGTACTTTTGTTCATGCCTGACTATGGTAGCTCCTTTAACAGAGGCCTTCCTCCTACATAGACTAAATTACTTACCTTTTATCATTACATGAAGAGCAAAACCTCATCCACTATATATGCCACTTAAAATCAACAAATATTTTATATAAATGAAGAATTAAAAAAATTTTGTATAGTACAACCAGTTACTGAAAATGCATGCTTTAAATTACCTGTGTATAGTACAACCACCCCGCCATTTTTTTTTTTTGTGTAAAAAAACTGATCATAAAAAAATTGCAGTATGTTCAAGTATAAATGGTAATTATATTTCATTACAGAAAATACTGGAAAAACTTACCAATTTTACAATCTCTGAAATATTTCTCAATTGGATAATCTTTGGTGAAGCCAACGCCACCCATCCATTCAAGACATTTGGAAGTGGTTTCTGTAGCCACCTATAAAAGAAGAAAATAATTATAAAGTTAAATAAAATGGGTGTAAAAACTGTAACAGTCTGGTTGATTGATTTGTTTTTTATGGCTTAACCTTTTGCAGGTTATTTAAAACCAGGAAATATTTTTAGATTGTAAGAATTTTTTAGAAATAATGATTTACTGGTACAAGTCCTACTAAGTAACCCGTAGCTGGTGGGGGAGAAATGATCAACCTTTCCCAAAGGTATTTGCATGTAGCTTCACTTCCCCTCACTAAAATCTTCTCATTCTCTTTCACTCCCTGTAATTCCTTGAGTCCTAGTGGCATTATCATCTTGCTTGGAGTGAAATGATAAAGAAAAAAAAAAGAATTATAATGAGCCTAACTAGGACTGAAACTTGACTCTCTGATTTCCAATTCTTAGTTGTTATCCATAACAACACCTGCGCATCCAAGCTAACAGCACCTGATATTTCCAAGTGGTTACCCATCTAAGTACTGACCAGGCTAGATCTTGCTTAATTTCAGTGATCATATGAGAACTGCTGTTTCAAAATTAGCATGGCTGTAAGCCACAGAGTATTAAGAAACAGGAAAATTTTGTTAGCTGGATTTCTTAGATGAAGCGTCAGTGAGAATATTACAATATTATTAAAACAAATATTACTATATTATTAAAAGTTGGTTCACTATATCACAGAAGACAATTTTTCTCACCAGAATTTATCTTGAATATTCATATTTCTACCATTCATTTGGACATTGAATATTGCTTCCACATCTGCTCTTTTTTTTTTTTTTTTTTTTTTGCTTCTGCTATATATCTATAGATTTTTGGGCACCTCAAGGCAATGTAATGTTTAGCAAACTTGTCTTGCTAGAACAATTACCACTGAGTAGTGAGTTTGATCCTCACTGGGTTCTCCCCCCTCTACTTTCGGCCTTGTGCCACATCTAAGCTATGCTTGGAAAATCACTATCTACAGATTCTTGACAAAAATTCAAAGAATCTGTAGTGTTATCAGTCCTAACCAGGTAACTCAACTTCAGTCACTTTACCAGTGTTGTAATGTAGCTTTTCATGGTAAATGTTCTGGTGAAGTTTCCTCTTTGCTACTTTATGAATTTAACAGCAGTACTAGATTGGCAGCTAGGTCTCATTATTTTTACAGTTGAAATGGCCGCTAGATGTAACAATAAGTTCTATGCTAACAGTTTCTTCTTTTACACTCCTTGCTTGTGGTACTCTCTTCCAGCTTACTTTCCACTCAATTTTGATCTCCAAAAATTTAAATGCAATGTCAATCATTATTTTCTGTCTTCTGAATTCCTGTTCTTTTATTGATATGCCAGAAAAAAACAAAACAAAAAAAAGCAGGAAAAACTAGAAAATGGTGGGTGGACAAAAAAAATAAAGAGGAAAAGATGCCAGAAAACAGTTAAAAAAAAAAAAAAAAAACAGAAAAATCCCAGTCTTTTGAACAGGAGTAGAGGTTTATCCTTTGTTTCCAGTTCCTTCCCAAGTTTACTTCCACACTATTACTTCAAATGTCTCCGACTGAACTCTAAAATGTTATTTACTAATTAAATCTTGACCTTTTCATGTCTAGAGCTAGCTGTTATCTTTCCAGCATAACCCTAAGAACTTTATTCCTTGTCTTTTCTTACACTAATGCAATACCACACAATAACCCTCTACCTTGAGTGGGTCTTGGGCCTTGTATTGAGTGAACATTACTATAAAAAAAAACCATAAAAATAGAATCCCCCACCCGAAAAAAAGGAGAAAAAAATACAAGAAAAAAAAAGGAAGGATGCCATAAAAAAAAAAAGGAGAAGAAAAAAAAAGGGACCCACAAAAAGAATCAGAAAATGAAAAAAGAGAACCAAGCATTTTACCTCAGAGCTGAATAACTTGGCCATGGCTGCTTCCTTAATGATTGGCTGACCTGCTTCCTTCATCCTGGCTGCATTATAAACAAGTAAACGAGCTGCTTCAATTTGCATGGCAACACGAGAAATTTGATGCTGCATACTCTGAAAAATAAATAAGGAATACAGGGCATTACATTTGAGGCCGACTTGGCTGCAGGAGATTCCGGAAGGTTGTCAGTGTTGGGTTCTACTCTGAATTTTCTGTCTGGATTTACTTCCATGTTTGGATATGGCCACAAGGCAGTTGATGTTTACAATTATTGTTTTCCTTCCTCTAGAGCAGTATTTCTCAATCAGGGTTCCCCAGAACCCTAAGGTTCTGAAAAAGGTCCCCAAGGGTTCTGTGAGAACAGGTGAGATAAGATAATGCACATTTTACTTTTTATTTAATTTATATACATAATATTACTAAACGCACACACAATATATTCTTGGCTATTGTAATATAGACATCATCTTATCTAACTTATTATGTTATTAAAAAATGTAACAATCATTGGGAATATATTTAGTGATGTCTAAACGGCGTCAGAGTAAAACCACCTTCACTAGTCAGTGCCCACTCAGCGAACGGGACCTGCACTTAAAGTTATTTATTTCTTTGTTTTTTTTTTTTTTTATTTTTACAGAAATACCTAATCACCCAATGAGGCGATTTTTGAAGAGGAAACATTCCAAAAATTCTGATGAGTTTAGTGGTGAAGAAAATCCTGATATAATCTCAACACACTGTTTTCTTCACAGAGAGGTGTTGATTTCAAAATTAATTTTTCCTCAAACCAGTTATTCAAAAATATATCACATTTATCATATTTACCACATGGACTACGATTAAAATAAAATGAGAAAGATATGGTGTATAATTTTGTTTTTTGTTCCTTGAGACATGAAATTTATTTTAAGGGTTACACAAGGGTAAAAAGAAACACTGCTCTAAACTGAAGAGATGGTCCACAGAAAACCATGTGGTTACCTTTCCTAGGTAAAAGTAAATGACTAGCTACTCATTTTCAGTATCTCCATTTTCTAGTGTGGATAGTTAATCCCTGTTGCAGTTGCCTGCTCAGGCACATTTGTATTTCTTTCAACACCCACAGAGCCAGCCTGTGGTTTATACTGCAACTATGCTGAGTGGACCACAGTTATAATTTCTAGGAGAGAGCATATAATCTGGTGGAATCTGTAGTTGAACTGTAACGAAAGACATGACTTACCTTGGAATTCGAAATGAGCGCAAATGTGCCTTGCCTGCAAAGTGATGACGAAAAAGAAATATGGCTGCTATTATGCGCACCTGTCTTGTCCAAGACAAGACAATATTTGCACACATGCAAATTTTGACCGTCTTAGAATAGCATAAAAAGCAGGGTGCCAGCAGCACGGGGGAGAGAAGTCATTCGACAGACTGTGTGTGTTAGAGTTGGATGTATAGATTGACAGACAGAGAAAGAGGAAATTGAAGTATATGCAGCTGAGTTGGTGTCTGTTTCACAACTGTCCAGTGTAACGGCCGAGAAAAGGTGCCACGCAATCCATTTCCTTGAGGCGACCAAAGAAGAAGAAAAAGAGCTAGCTTGCTGGCAAGCATCGCACAGCACTTTTTGACCCCCCCTCCCTCGTCATCATTTATTTTTTTTGCTACATGAACAAAGCCAGTACACTGAAACCCAAAGTCAGGATGACTTGACATCTTGTACTAGCACAAATGTTAATGTTTTCTGAACAGTTTCATATGCCTAATGTCACTCACAAAGTTTGGGCGAACCTGTGGTATTGTATGATATTGGTTATTTATATCTATTTTTTACATTTGAGTTTAGAATTTTTTTGTGTGAATGAAAACTCCCTACTGAACAGTATGAATTTTATTTAGCATTACCAAAAAATTTGACATTTTTCCTTAAACCAGTTATTCAAAAATAAGTATATATTTTTGAATAACTTTCTTATTTTATTTTCATCATTGTTCACATGGTAAATATCATAGTACAGTGAGACCCGGATATAAGAGAGATTTTCTCTGGTCCCAAATTAGAGCCTGTGTTAATGTATATAAAATAGACCAAACCCGGATATAAGAGAGATTTTCTCTGGTCCCAAATTAGAGCCTGTGTTAATGTATATAAAATAGACCAAACCGGATATAAGAGAGATTTTCTCTGGTCCCAAATTAGAGCCTGTGTTAATGTATATAAAATAGACCAAACCCGGATATAAGAGATTTTCTCTGGTCCCAAATTAGAGCCTGTGTTAATGTATATAAAATAGACCAAACCCGGATATAAGAGAGATTTTCTCTGGTCCCAAATTAGAGCCTGTGTTAATGTATATAAAATAGACCAAAACCGGATATAAGAGAGATTTTCTCTGGTCCCAAATTAGAGCCTGTGTTAATGTATATAAAATAGACCAAACCCGGATTTAAGAGAGATTTTCTCTGGTCCCAAATTAGAGCCTGTGTTAATGTATATAAAATAGACCAAACCCGGATATAAGAGAGATTTTCTCTGGTCCCAAATTAGAGCCTGTGTTAATGTATATAAAATAGACCAAAACCGGATATAAGAGAGATTTTCTCTGGTCCCAAATTAGAGCCTGTGGTAATGTATATAAAATAGACCAAAACCGGATATAAGAGAAACCCGGATATAAGAGACTTCTTCTCCGGTCCCGACAACTCTCTTATATCCGGGTTACACTGTATAGTGACCAATGTGTAAAATAAAATGAGAAAGATATGGTATATAATTTTGTTTTTACCCAGGGGTTCCTTGAAACATGAAATTTATTTTAGGGGTTACGCAAGGGTAAAAAAGTTGAGAAACACTGCTCTAGAGCAATGTTTTTAACCTTTTTTTTTTTTTTTTATCTCCTGGCACACTTGAACCTATAGTTACACTTCTGCAGCACACTTTGTGATTTGGTTACTGATGAATTGGATGAATCAGTATTCAATGTACAAGCATCGTCTTCTAATTTTTGTTTCTTAATTAAAAACTTGTCCATTTGAATTGAATTCTATGCAATAAAATACCTCAGTATGATCTTGTGGTGAATAAAAAGAAAACAGCAACCAGCGAGTAAATTCAAGCTCTCCCAACTGGTATTCCAACTTCGAGTGGTTCCTTCTTGAGTTCTGTCACAAAATCGCACTAACAGACTTTTCTAGCCGCCAACCGTGAACGTGCCTCAAAGCACCCCGCACTGGGAAAAATTAGTTGCTTTTATATTTGTCCATATACCCATAATCCCTTGCGTCTTCATGCGATCCCATAATTCATTGCATCCCTGTCCCATAATGCATTGCATCTTTATTACATAAAAATGCAATGAAAGTCCCCCCTCATTCTTTTATGTTATCTGGCCAAGGACAGATTACGGCAGAGAGTAAGTGCTTTTTTCTCCCTCATTTCAACTGCAGTAGCTTTACATGTTAAGCAAATACGGGCTCTTTTTTGGCGGGGACAAGGCAAGTCGGAACCAGTTGTGCTCGTCCCAGGTTCTGTCTCATCATGTCTGTCACAGATCTACACATTCTCACTACTATGGACACAATTCAAGACATGCACAATGAAGGATTGCTGCATCATTCCTGAAATCAACTTTGAATGACTGACATGTATTGTTGTTCATCGGCATGTCCTTGCCAAATCGTGTCATCTATGGATGTATTACATGACTTCATTTCACACATCCCACCCATTTTATATATTATGTATATGTTTATTTATTATAAAAATGGTTATATTATGTGTATTTATTCATGTATGTTTCATATATATATATGTAAAAATTTCTCAGAATTAACCTGTAGAAAAAGACAATATGTATTAAGGAAAAAGATGATAGGATAACTGTAGTTTTAGCTGACGCATTGGACAAAACGTGCTTGCTAAAACTAAAGTTTTCCTGTTGTCTTTTTCCTTAATGCATATATATATGTGTGTGCGTGTGTGTGTGGGCGTGTCTTGAACAATAAAAAATGTTAAAAAAATTAAAATTTCAGACACACTTGGTTGTATATTAATATTTTCTGTTTTATTATTTAAATTAGGTTCCTTGACTAGTTTCCTCCAGCATGGCCATCATCAGAAGAAAAAAAATCCCTGCTTGTCACATGAGTGAGTGAATATCTTTGAAGAAAGTGAACTTTGAAATTTTCATTTATTTTTTTATCGTTAACTTTGGTCAGTCCTTGTATTGGTTAAACAGCCCCTTTCAAGTTTTTTTTTTAAATAGAGGCTGGGAGATTCATGAGTCTCAGAATTTTGACAGCTTTATTGGTTGCTGAGAAGGGGATGTGTGTGTTAAGTGTATGCTATCTTTTATTTTGATGGGTGTATTTGTATATATTTGTGTGTGTGTGTGTATGTGGGAGATCTCAATACCTCTGCAAGCATGCCTGTCTAGTGTGGTCGAGAAATGTGGGTGGGGGTTGATCTATCGGATTATATATTAATTCTATCTTCGTTGTTTAGTCTGTGGTTAAGTCCATCTGGACAAAGTGTTTTGAAGTGCAAAATCCATTTGTGTTTATGTTCTAGTATTTTTTCTTAGGTCTATTTATATTCTTTCAATAATAATGAATTTTGCATGGCTATAAAAAAATGAATATATATATATATATATATATATATATTTGTGTATTTAGGCAGCAATCCTTCTTTCATGCACATTTCATTGAATACGACAGACAAGGTGCTCTTATTTAGTTTTTTATACAATATCTCATGCGATCTAATAATTTTTTTCTTTTCAGATGATAAATTATATAAAAACTGTCTGAATGTTCTTTTTTAATCCTTGAAAATGGCTAAATGTATAGCTGAAAGTGCTTGGATAAAAAGAATATTCAGACAGTTTTTATATAATTTATCATCTGAAAAGAAAAAATTATTAGATTGTATGAGAAATTGTATAAAAAACTAAATAAAAGCACCTTGTCTGTCGTATATAATGAAATGCATATATAATATATATATATATTTAGAAAAATATGACAAAATGGAAAAGTTTTTGTGATGTGTTTCATCCATTAGGATTTTATCAGACTGTCTGATGAAATCCTAATGGATGAAACACATCACAAAAACTTTTCCAGTTTGTCATATTTTCTAAATACTGTTTGTTTATATATATATATATATATATATATATATATATATATATATATATATATATATATAAAAGGTTTTCAGGCACTTTCCAAAGGTGCCTCATGCTAGGTCACCCACTCTAGGCCCAAGCCTTTTGAGTGAAATTGGGTAGACGGAACCCATAGGGGAAATCGTTGGCCATGCTAGTACGAAGTCACAAATCATTGTGACTGAGAGTTTGAACGTGCCGACCTTGTTCAGATTGTTGATCATGCTAGATAACACACACTCTCCCAAAAATAACTAAGGTCTACCCAACATAGTTGCAGTATAAACTACAGGTGGTCTGTGTGGGTGTTGAACAAACACAATTGTGATTGGCCAGTCACCCTAGTAGATGAGTATCCTTGAATACAAGTGACTAGCTATTATTATATACATACACACACACACATATATATATTCTGTTCATATGTGTCATCCTCTTATGGTCACTCCTTGTTGTGGTGGAGGTGCTTGCATGTTTCAATGATTCTGAAAGCAATGCCTTTGAGAGTTCTAAACTCCTGGTAGGGCAACTCTTGGAGGTATGGTCAAAGACATGAACCCAGACTAAGTGCAACCAACCCAGAAGATCCCAACGGTGGAACAAGCGAAGGATAATTACAACAGATCTCAATGGTTGAAAAGGTGAATGAAGTGGGCTACGCATGCTGGACATGCTACAGAAGGCGCCACTAGAAATTATAACAGAGTCAGCGGCAGTCCATTGTAGTTTTATGACTGGATTCTGCATGTCTCATTCCATATGTGTTGCAGAAGAAGGTCATGAAATCAAGTGTATGGGTCACTTCCTGGCAAGTTGAGGTCCACCTTGAACAAATTCATGCTATTGACACTTTCTTCTACTTGGATTTTCTTACATCATCATAAAGGAAGTGATCAGCAAAGAAGAAATTATATTCTTGGATACAAGACAAAGCCAATGATGATAACAATTATATATTCATATTATCAATTTAAAGAGGTTTTAATGTGTACTTTATGTCTACTTATTGTGCTTTGGTCTTCTTTCAAAAATAATTTAATTCATAAACTTTTAAAATTTTTTGTAGCACACCAATTGAAAAATCACCGCTCTAGAAAGATTGCCTTCCTAGGCTAGTGAACATCTATCTTCATCTAATGCAGTTGTAGAAATTTTATTTTATAACCAATCATTTATAATCATTAATAATAATAAATTTCCTTTAATAACAAATTAAAAATTAACCTTAAATTTCAAGGTAAAATAATGTCGGTAAACAGCTTTGCTAAGAAAGGAATGATTCATACCTGGAAGTCCCATATGCTCTGTCCAAACTGTTTTCTCTCCATTACATATTTGATAGTATGATCAAGACAACCACTTGCCAAACCAATCATCTGTTTTAAAAAAAAAAAAAAGAAAGTGAAAAACAAAAAATATAAATACTAATAATATATATATATATTATTAATGTATATTTTGACAGCAATCTTTCTTTTTAATTTATTTACTGTATCCTTACATTTTGTAGGAGTAAGGGAGTACATAAATTAATTTTCCATAATTTTCATTGTCTGAAGTGCTTTTGGTGTTATTTGTTTTTACTCATGTTGTGACTGTGTGTGGGCAGTCACAAAAAGGATATTAAAGTAGATAAAAAGGAGGAAATTTTAGATCCTCTTTCACCATTTTTTTAATTAATTTCCCGACATTGTTAAAACTTGGTCTACCTTAACCTGGCTTGATCTTAATTTTTCACCACATCTAAATAAGTTTGATTACATTGGGTCTAGTTAGATGAGATTTTTACACTTTTTTTTTTGTGAAAATATTGGAAGTGGAACATTTTGCTTGCAATTCTTTCCCAGTCCTGGCAATAAACTTGACAATCATTGAGCAATTTTGCACCCCATGGCGGTGTACCCCAGGGTGGCTGCCCTTTCTTGCTCCCTGCCAATGTGCACAGTTGACTAAATATTTCTTAGAGGAGCTCAATTAGGAAAAAATTGCTTCATCTCAGCTGGAATTTTAAAGTTTACTCAGCTTAAAAAACCTCTTATTTGAAACAGTAAGATTCATACACATGTAGGCATTTTCATAAAAGGGTTACTGCTTTTTACTTTAACAAATGGATTATCAAAAGAAAAATCAATAAAAAGATTGATAAAAAGTAAGAAAAATAGATGAAAAAAAAAATAGGTCACCATTTGTCATGCTCCACTTGACGAATAATAAAATCACAAACTCAACAAACAATTATTACCATATTTTCTTGTGTGTAATATGACCCTGTGTTTCTGAAGCTAAAAAACAGGAATTAAATTACTTCCTTGAGGATAATACAACCTCATAGTACAGCCACCTCTTTGTAAGTTTTTTTTTTTTTTAAAGTTATACTGTTATCTATTAAAATCTCAATGTCGTACATATCTTTCACTAAAATATTTAATTTGTTATCATATTAAAGAATAGAAATGAACTAGATATTTAGCGATTGCATATTTCCTCTCCTAATTTAGGTTTCAAAACTTGTTTTGAACTTTCAGCAAAAGGTGCTAATTAGACATACCTGGAAACACATTTTAAGATGTTAATTAATCTATCATACTTTTCTGTTTGATATTTCTTTATTATAATTCTATATATTAATAAACTATGAAAATAAAAAAAAAATATTGTCTTTCATTAAGAACAAAGAGAGAAACAAATATTGCAGACATATCAAATTATTTTGTTAACCTTTATCACTCTGTATGTAACTTCATTTGCTGTACAAAAAGTTTATCCTGCCACTGAAGGTAACTCTGATCCCTAAACAATAGTGTGTTTGAATTTTATAGTTGTGTTGTCATATCCTGCTATGTTAACAGAAAATAACTTTGAGTGAAATTACAAATAAGGATACTGCAATTGAGAGGCCTTGAAAAAGAATGCAGTAGAAAGGCAAGTAATATTGTTATAGTAATAATAGTGTGTAAGTAATATTACTAAAGTAATTTTAGTGAAAGATATGTACGACATTGAGATTTTAATAGATAACTTTAAAAAAAAAAAAAAAACTTACAAAGAGGTGGCTGTACTATGAGGTTGTATTATCCTCAAGGAAGTAATTAATTCCTGTTTTTTAGCTTCGGAAACACAGGGTCATATTACACACAAGAAAACATGGTAATAATTGTTTGTTGAGTTTGTGATTTTATTATTCGTCAAGTGGAGCATGACAAATGGTGACCTATTTTTTTTTCATCTATCTTTCTTACTTTTTATCAATCTTTTTATTGATTTTTCTTTTGATAATCCATTTGTTAAAGTAAAAAGCAGTAACCCTTTTATGAAAATGCCTACATGTGTATGAATCTCAGGAATTGTCTAATGTGCACATTTTCACAAATTTTGTGTGGTTGCAATTCTCTACAATTACACTTTTTTGCAGTTGGGTGGCCTTTTCTTACAGTGTGGTTTCTTTTTGGCAGTCAGATTGACTAACCTATCAGCTCATATGTGTACCCCTTAGACAATTTGCTTTTATCTTGATATTGCTGTACACACGCTTTTTGATAATTAATCTCAAATTCCTAAGTTTCTTCCATTGTCTGAAAAACAAATGTTCCTAATACAAACAAGATTTGAGCTTTCCTATAATTCTACATAGAATAGTACAAAATAAAAAACGTCTTTATTAGGTTGACCAACCTACATTTTATCCAACCCCAGATTAAGTGGTCTGGAGGGGAAATTTGGTGAACTTTAGTTATACAGGTTTTACTTAGTAAGTTAAACTAGTGTTCAAGCCAATGCCTGTTTAGCATTCTACAACATTTGTTTATTGTAAGGATAAGTATAGCTAGCTTCCCAAATGTCCTCATATGTATAGTGGAATGATGGAAAGACAATCAAAGATTTAGAAACAGGTTCAAAAAATTCATATGCCAATAATATACCAGTATAATTTCAAAATTTAAAAAGCTATTATGGATTACTTGTAATTGTATGCAAGAGTCCCAGTATAAATAATTATTGACCAATTTTATCATTGTGATATTTTGCATTATATCAAGTATTAAGAATATAGTAACTAGGGTCTGCAAATTGGAGGAGAGAGTTATCAATGATAATGTTCTGACTTCAAATCTGTGGTTATCTCCCTTTAGCTGTCTCTCTGTTTTTTTATTTTAAAATGTACTTTTTATTACATAAAATTTGGTGAGACAAGAGTCAATTTTCATTCTGAAAATGCAGCTTGGAGAAAAAAAATTTAGAAACCACTGAGCTAGTACATCAAATGGGTGAAGGCTTGTGACATGCTAATAAAATGCTAGAGTGTAATGATTGTATATACATTCATTCATACTTTGCTGGTTCTATTTCAACCATTCACTTACAGGTTCTAATTAGAATTTTTAATTAGTTCTTTCTCACACCAATCTCTGTTTAATGTAACTGTGGTGGCAGTATGACTGTTAAAATATGGTTTTGTACAAATGATATATGACAGCCATCCTGTCACCAATAACAAAAGAAGAGAATAGTTGGCAAATACAGAGAAGAATTTCACATCAAATAAAACTGCTAGAAAAAGTTATGTTGTAATTCAACAGACAAGAAAACAGCAATAAAATTAAAATGAAACAGAGAATATATATATATATATATATATATATATATATATATATTATATATTTGTTGTAGAGTAGGACTCAGTGTACTTCCTGCTCTTCCCTACTACTTTGACAATGGACTGCTCCTACTTATAAATATGGCAGGTAGCCACATTAGAGGAGGATTTGAGTAGTATTTGATTTACTCACATTTTCATTCTGTGTATGAGTAAATAATAAAACTCTTCTTTTTGTTTCCTCTACCTAGTCTTCTGTTCCTTCAATACTAACTACAGCCTTCCTAATTATTGGCTATTTTGAACAAAAAAAAAAAAGAAAAAAGAAAGAAAATCTCACTCCTGATTAGTTAGGTAAAATGGGTGTTTTGAAAGCCACACATGTTCTCTACTATGTAGTTTATGATCTTGACTATAAATTTTGTATACCTTTGCCTGGATCCTCCTCTTGCACAAAAAATCTGTTAACACAGACCAAGTTTATTCCTAATTTCTACAATAACTTTTCTTCATCATTTTTATCATCTACTTTAATTTGTTTTAATGCTACAAGTCATCCAATAGGTGTTTTCATGCACAAACAGGTACCTCAGCCTGTGATAACTTAATAGGTCAGAATACAAAAATAACGTGCAAGTGTTGCAAAAATAGATATAAGATAGTAAAAAAAAAAAAAAAAAAAAAAAAAAACAGTTTTTAAATGAAAATAAAAAAAAAAGTTGGAAATTTACCCTCCTGATTTATGTGATTAAATTTTATATTTCATTTTTTAATATCACCCCAAACAAGGCAGTAAAGCCACTAAGACACAAGGGATTACCAAGTATGAAAGAATAAGAAAAAAAAAGATAAATATTATTAAGGAGCAAAAACAATATAAGAGTAATCAAAAAGACCAAGATAATGATTGACATTGCATTTAAATTTTTGAAGATCAAAATTGGCTAGGAAGCATTGAGCTGGAAGTGAATTCCACAAGTGAGAAGTGCAACAAAAGAAACTGTTAGCACAGAACTTACAATTACATCTAGCCATTTCAACTGTAAATTCATGGGACCTTGTCAATCTAGTACTGTGCTTAAATTCATAAAGTCTAGGTACCATAGCAGAGAGTTCATCTGAACAATTACCATGAAAGTGTTTATAGAAAAGGCACAGGGAAGTGGAAAGTGACTGAAAACGAGATGCAAGGTCAAGACCAATAATATTGCCGTTTTGTTTGGCTTTTATCAAAACTCTCTAAATATACGGAAAGAACACTAGTTACTTGCATATCATATTTTTTCTACATTAATATTTAGAATTTTTCCCTAAGTTTCCCAGTGTGACCAAACCATTTTTATCTATAATAGAAATCAAAAGACGACTCTTCACTCACCTGAGATCCAATCCCAATTCTGCCTTCATTGAGAATACCAATTGCATATTTATAGCCATGCCCAAATGTCCCAAGAATATTTTCCTCTGGAACCTGAAATAAATGATGATAAATTAACAGATTCATGAATAAGACCAAAAGTATGGGGCTAGCAGTGAGGAACGCCCTCACTACACGGTCATAATTGATCTAGCGAGATAAGCTTGCTGATCATTACGCCATGTCAAAGTGCAAGAAATAATATGAATAGTTGAAGAGAGAAAGCAAATGTTCTTTCAAAAATTGAAATTAAAACACTAAAAATCTAAGAAAGAATTTACATAAAGAGTTTCAATGGAAGATAAAACCAGAGAAAATGTTTTTAAAAATGAAATCGGGAAAAAAAAATGTTTTATACAGTTGTCTTCCTACCCCCTACCCACCAATATGTCCTTCAGTTTCTATGGAGGGATTGACAATTGGCTTCCAAATAATCATTGTTGATATTATCATGCAATTTCATCTGATAACCACAACATTTGATGCAGTTTTTACTCTTTCAAAACATTCATGTTTTAGACCTCTTAATTTTGACCCTTTGTGTAATTAACTCCTGTGATTACATGTGGACGACTTGCTCTTGTGCAAAAAAGTTGTACTCCAAATTTTAGTTCCCTTTATTTATAACTGGGAATAGACAAATTCAACAACATTAAATTGGTAAAAGGAGAACACAGACCAGTAAAAGCAATTTTCATTGCTTGAAATCCTCAAAGAATCAAACTGAAAAAAAAAAAAAAAAAAAAAAAAGAAAAAAAGAGGCCAAATTTTACAGATTCAAACTACAGGGGCCAGAAATCTTGGCCAGGAAGTGATCGGTCCTGGTTGGGTTACCTGGGAGAGGGGTTTGATGTTTTTAGAGACATGAAACTCCCAATAACACTTGGAGTAAACATCACCAATGGTGTTTGTCTCAGAAGTGATTTATGAAAACATATTTAAAAAAGTGGGATGAAACAAGTCACCATATTTTTGCAAATTTATTTATAGATAACTTCCAAACACAACCTAGAATAATTACTCCAGATAAATATGAGCTCTGTAATGTTGAATTTGAAGATATAAATGTTGATTTTTGACAGAGAAAGGTCAAATGTATTAAAATAGAAAAATGTAAACAGTTAAAATACATTTACAGGTAAAAAAAAGTTGATAAGAAGAGAAAAATAATTACACCTGATAAATATCAGCATTGTTATGTTCAATTTAAAAGCATGTAAGAATACAGAAGGTACTTATCTCTCTTTGGTGGAGAGAAATCACTTGGGTCACTTGAAAGCCACTTAATGATGTCCCTCCATACAGTGACAAAAGTGCCAGTCATTTTTCAGTTTGTTTACAGCAATCAAAGTAAGGTTGCTTTCTTTAGCTCAGGCCTCCTATGGCCCAGGAAGAGATTAAATCTGCTTCCTCAGCAGCTTAGAAGTCCATGGTGCCATTTCCTTTTAGGTATATATCTTTCCCAGATATAGAAAGAAATTCCAGCTTGCAGCCCCCAATTTGGGAAAACCCAAGACTTGTTGTTTCCCCTTCATGGAATATGTCCTCACCTGGGACATAGATAAATCCAGCCAGTTTGAATCTGGAGGAGTCCTGAAAATGGCTTTTCCAGGTCAGGAGTATCTCCAAATTATATATGACCCTTCTTTTTTGTTTCTTCTTACACTCTGCTTTGCTGAGTAGATATATGTGATAATTTATTCCCTATATGGGACATGTGTATATATGTATACATAGTTTTATGTATGTCTTAGTATTATAAAAGTCTTTTTGAGAACAAAGCATGTTTGTCATTCTTTTTCCTTTCAGCCATTCCATTCCATCTATAAAATATTGGTATCATATCACAGATAAAATAATGCTCATAAAGCCACTAAGGGTTACTAAGTGTGGAAGAATTAAAAACATTACTAATGAGTGGGAACAAAAGAAGTAATCAGGACAGTAGATAGTGATTGACATTGCATTTAAATTTTTGAAGATTAAAGTTGGCTGGAAAGCATGGAGCTGGAAAGGAGTTCCACAAATGATAAAAGAAACTGTTAGCATAGAATTTATGGTTACATCTAGCCAACTCAACTGTAAATTGATGAAATCTCAATGCCAGTCTAGTACTGCACTTAAATTGAAAAAGTCTAGCAAATAATTACCATGAAAGTATTTATATAAAAGCCACAGAGAACCTACATCATGGTGGTTGGAAAGTGACTGAAGTCGAGATGCCAGACTGGGACTGATAATATTGCTGATTCTTTTTTGGATTTTACCAAGGAGCTCAAGGTAAATAGCAGGAGCACCGAACCATTATGTGGCAGCAATATTCTAAGCATGTACAAATGGTAGACTTATAGATATGTATGATAGAATCTGGAGAAAAAAAATTGTCTTATACAACACAGTGAAATAACTTTCTTAGCACCTGAGCTAGCAATGGATTTAATGTAGTCTTTCCATTTCATGTCAGCCGAGAACATTCAAGGAGAATGTTTGTGCGAGAAGGCGCAACAAGTCACTTTCCTGAAGGTTAGCATCCCTTGATGCTGTTTTTGCTGCATACACTTTTGACTCCCCCACCCGGGGGGGAGGGGGGGAGGAAGTCAAAAGTCATTTACAGGATTATAAAAATGAACACAGAACATGCAATATTATCTACCTTTTATAAAGATTTATTATTTAGCATGGGCAAATGTGGCATCTTTGGAAAGTGCCTTGAAACCTTAAGATGGGGGTTTAACCACACCTTGATAGTTTAATTAGGTAGACGGAACTATTTGGAAGCTGTTGGTCGTCGTGCTAGCATGAAGTCGCAAGACACCATGACCGAGGGTTTGAATGTACTGGCTTTGTCCAGACTGTTGATGACACCAGATAATGTGATCTTTCCCAGAGATTGTAATTAAAGCTTGCTCAGCATAGTTACAGGTGGGTTCAGTGGGTGTTGCACAAACACAAATATGTCTGAGCAAGCATCTGCAACAAGGATTGACTAGCATCCTTAGTAGACAGGCATACTCGGATATGAGTGGCCAGCCACCATTACCACCCTTATTAAGGTTAATTTTAAACATCCATTGTGATTCACCAACTGGCCAATGATTAACTCAGGTTACATTTCAATTTTTGATCTTGGTGTGCACTGAAAACTGGTAAAGGGCATACTGCATGCTTACAAGGCAACAAGATGAATGACAAATGCCACACTGAGAAATAAGAACAGCTCTTTCCCATATTATATGAAGATGTTTTCATTCAGAGCTTCACCTGCTTGCCTGGGTTGTTAGGTAGGAGACACTTTAGACATCTTCTATGTTGATGCCATATATCGGCACTTTCTTCTAATTCCTCACACATTCACACATCTTAATGTGTGGCTGGCAATATAAATGGGTGGCGCTTGGGACTATCAGGTGCTGTAAGTGTAGATGTGCAAGTGGTACAATGGATAATGACTTGGAATTGTTAATCAGGGAGCTGAGTTCCAAGGCACGTTGGGTTCATTATATTCATTTACATGCAAAAACTCTTGGGAAAGGTATGAATCCACTGCTTTTCCGCCTCAGCTATGGGTTAATTAGTAAGACTTGGAGCACTAAACCATTATTATCAAAATAAATAAAAAAAATTCTTACAATCTAAAATTATTTTCTGACTTTAAATAACCTGCCATGGATGGTTAAGCAATATACACTTTAGACAACTTGGAAATTAGAAAATCTTTACACTTGTTTCATGATCAAAAAAATAGAAAGGTTCTCTTTCTTGATTTCATTGAGAATCAGTACACAGCCTCTTTTAGGGCTGCATATAGCTTCTAATATTAAGCTGAATAAATTTAAAGTGATTCCATTTCAATTAAATTCGCATTTGATGAGTTTCTCATGAGTGAATTTGATGTTAGACGGCCTGTGACTTGTGAACATTTATTGTAAAGTAAGAGGGATGCACATGAGTTGAAGTCTTGACTTGATCAATACAATTTTGCATTGAGGCAGAAGGTTGGGAAGACAAGGAGGTGGAGAGGAAGCAGACCAGGGGTGGACAGCAACTTACTTTGGAAAATGAATAAATCAATCAACAAATGGATGAAACAGGAACCACATAATGGACAAGACTGTCTCCAACCAAGAACAGACCAGAACTGACTCTCCTGATATCAAGTATGACTGCTAATATAGACTAACAATTGGATACACTCTATGCCCAGTTTTATTGTCGCTTGATCCCCAAAAGACCCTATCTACTTCCTATTCAGTCAAAGTGGATGCCATTTAGAAATATTCAAAGAACAATTCACTAGTCATAAAAAGAGAAACATTGGAGACTGATATAAAACGACATCTTCTTCCTCAATGTGAGTGTCAGTAATACCACATAATATTCTGATCTCTTTCTCTTTAAAATATGTTGTGATAAAAACACAAAGATGTACAGTTTTTGCTTAAGCAGTTTACTTACGATGACATTGTCAAAATGGACCATGCAGGTACTGGATGCTCGAATACCTAGCTTGTCTTCTTTTTTAGCCACAGTCAAACCTTCTGTATCCCGCTCAACAATAAAGCAGGTGATACCACGGTAACCCTGAAAAGAGTTAGTATATACACTTAAGACGTTTAACCAGAATAAAACAAAACTCATTTGATTAGCAATCAAGTAGAAGTCATGGAGAAAAAAAGATTAAGTACTTGAAAAATAATTCATTTTTTATGATTATCGCCTGAGCAAATATGTATTTTAAAAAATATTACTTTAGACATTTTTATAGAGGACACTTCATATTTGAAATATACGCCTCATATTTATTTATTAGACAGTGTGTATTATGTAGCTCAACCTGCACATTCAAGTAAAGAAAATATGTCCGCCCTATTTGATTCCCTGTCAGAGTAAGAAGACCCAGGAGAAAGACATTCCATATCTGTCTATATTTGAGATGAGGTATTATGTACACTGTTTACATTATTCAGACTATTGTCCTCATCTTTGTCGCCATATTTATTACATTTCGGCCATTGTATGTTCTGGCCTTCTTCAGGTGTTTGGAATATTGAACTGAACCATTGATTTTGCTCGCTGAGGGAAATTGTTCTAGTTCCACATGCCATGTTTAATGGATGTCAGTTGTCAGTTATCTCCTGTTAATTCCCCTCTCCAAGTTCTCCACTGCCTTAACCGGGTATTGAACTCACACTCAGTGGAGAACTTGGAGAGGAGAATTAACAGGAGATAACTGACAGCTGACATCCATTAAACATGGCATGTGGAACTAGAACAGTCTACCCCAGTGAGCGAAATAAAGAGTTCAGTTTGATATTCCAACCACCTGAAGAAGGCCGGAACATACAACGGCCGAAACATTGTAATAAATATGGCGACAAAGATGAGGACAATAGTGTGAATAATGTAAATAGTGTAAAGACATTCAACATGAAATATTTCCTCAGCAACCCAAAGGCAATCAGTGCTTTCACTGCCTTTATCATTATCTATGAAATGTCTTAAATTGCTATCTGATTCCCTGCCAGGATTAGGTAGACCAGGATAAAGAAATTATTCTTTAAATATTTCCTCAGCCACACCAGGACAATCATTGTTTTTACTGCCTTCTTCTTTACCTATGAATTGTCTTGACTCCCTATCTGATTCCCTGTTAGTGTAAGAAGACCCAGGATAAAGGCAAATATTTCCTCAGATCTCCTCACCCACAAGACAATCATTGTTTTCACTGCCTTCATCATTATCTTTCACTTGTCTTGAATTCTTATCTGATTCCCTGCCAGAGTAAGAAGACACATGACAAAGAAATTTTTAATGAGGTATTTGGTCAGCTACTCTAGAACAATGAAGTTTCTTGTCAGATATCTTGTCAGCTATTCCAAAATGGTTAAAATTGTAATAAAAAGAATAATTTTTAATGACATTCTATGGTAAATCATGTTACTTATATTGAAATAAAAAAGACTTCAAAATTTTAACCCAGATAATAAACAACTTAAGAGTTAAAAAAAAAATTTCTGTGTGCCAAGACGTACATCTTCAGGTTTGGCATTAGCCATGACCAGGAATATGCCAGCATGTTCGGCATTAGTGATCCACATCTTACTGCCATTAAGGACATAATGATTTCCTTGTTTCACTGCAGACGTTTTCAAAGAGAAAGCATCAGAACCAGCACCTGCTTCTGACAAACAGAAACTGCCAACCTATATAAAGAAGGAAATAGAAAAATTAAAAACAAAACAAAAAAAAACACAAAAATGACTTGTATAGACTTTTCAGCATGCATGATTGCTTTTTTCAAACTATCTCTTTTTTTTTTAACATGTTCACTGTCATCAGATGTAGGTGTGCCTCTTGAATACTCACTTGTACTTGTTGCACCATCCACCTGTAATCAGCTGAGCTGGCTCCTTTAAAAGGTTGATTGATTTGTTTGTTTAAATGCATATCAACTCCTTATGAGTCATTTAATACGAAAATTTAATTTTCTTGGGAGCTTTGAAGTAATAAATATATGTTATTCTGCTCTCACAATTGAATACATGGTAGATGATACTCAGCTTTTGTGCATATATATGTTTGTGTGGACGTAATTACTAGATGTGATGATATGTGTATTTTATGTTGTAGTTTTGTTGAAGTTATATTTTGCATGAGTGTTTGCGTGTGCACATTTGTGAAATCTCCAAAAGTATATTTTGGTAGTAAAAGTTCAGAGTTGACATTCACTGTTTTAACTTTCACACCATACAGTCATACAAATGACTTCTTGCATTACTCAACTCACCGTATCTGTTGTCAATCGGCTGAGATATTTCTTTTTATGTTCCTCGGATGCATAGCTGCGAAATACTGCATTGACCACTGTGTTATGCACGTCGACCATTGCACTGACCGAAGGATCCACTTTGGCCAGTTCTTCAATGACCAAGTTGGCCACAAAAAACGTTGAGTTAGTTCCATTATATTCAGCCTCGATATCAATTCCCATCAGCTGAAGAAAAACATAACTGAATATTTTATCAGAAACAAGATTGTTAGGAAAGGAAACCAAAAAAAAAAAAATTGCGGGTGTAAAAGAGTAAGTATTGCTAAGAGCAACAAAAAAGAGGAACCTGTGGAGATCCATGATCACACACATCCTGGAGAAACATGACAGTGAGAGAGATAGATTTGATTTTTTTTATGACTTATCAACCCTTTGTAGGTTATTTAAAGCCCCAGCATAATTTGGATTGTAAGAATAATTCTTTTTTTGTCAATGAATATTTTTTGATCTTTTGGAATTCATTGAGAGTAATAATGATTTTTATAGATACAAGTCCCACTATTTAACCCATAGCCGGGAGAAGGAGGTGGATTTCATACCTTTGTGTATAAGTGAAAGTAACGAACTGGACAGGAATTCAAACTCGGCTCTCTGATTTCTCATCCCCAACTGCTGTCCATTATACCACTTGCACATTGACCGTCTTTTCAAGAAGAGAAATATTTAGAAACTACTGTGGCAAAAAAAAGTGAGGGATTGGTTTATAACCGGGTCGTAAAACAAAAGTGATTCCCCACTCAATGTCTTTTCAAAATTGATTAATATTTTTTTTTTGTAGGTTATCTAAAGCTGAAACATATTTTGTATTGCAAACATAATTATTTTTTTTGGAGTGAATATCGTGTTAACATTTTTTTGAGAATAACAATTATTTTTTCTGGATACAAGTCCTACTATTTAATCCATAGCTGGGGGAAGGAGATGGATTTGTTGCAGACACCCATACAAGTATACAAATGTGGGTATTATAACTTGTTGGAGTGCAATGAAAGTTCTCATAACGGTTACAAAACAAAAAAAAGAAAACTGAAATCAACATGAAATTCAAATACATCTCTAACTAGAGATATTTATTAAAGCGGGACATAGTGTTTGAGAAGTTTCCACGTGGTTGTTTGTCAGAGGCCAGCTTGGCACATCTTCACATAATGACTGTTGGTAGTAAAAAGAGAGAAAGAGAGTTTTTCTGATTTCTAATTCCAAGCTGATATCCATTACACCATCCATATATCGAAGCTTGCATCACCGAGTATTCCCAAACAGTCACCCATCTAGGTACTAACCAGGGTTGATGTTGCTTAACATTAGTGATTGTATGAGAAGCTTACATTACAGAGTATTTCCAGGCAGTCAGGTACTAAAAAGGCTTGACATTGCTTAACTTTGGTGAGCGTATGAAAAATGGTGTTTCAGTGTGATATGGCTGTAAGTTTCAGCCAAGGTGGAATCTGTCATTGGCTCATCTATTGACCAATCACTGGACTTTTTACATGCTGCTTACAGCAATGACGTGAAAGAGAGCTCTGGATAGAGCATTTCCTTTAAATTCTTACAAGGGGCCATTATAGGTTCATACATTTCCTCAAGGGTATTTGTGTGTAAGCGAAAGTAACAAACCCATCTGGAATTCAAACTTGGCTCTCCAATTTCTCATTCTGAGACACTATTCCTTACAGCCCCAGCATATCTGACAGCGAGAGAGAGAGACTGGCTAATCAATATAAATTTTAGGGTAAAGTGTTTATACAATTTTTTTTTAAACAGATTTTGAAATGTTTTTGAACTGTAAATCTTTTTGCTTCTTGTAAACAAATAAAGCCAAATAACTTACACCATTTTCAAACATGGCATCAATGACTGACTGGTCCATTTTGCTCTCAGCATCCATCTCTTTCACAAGTGGCTGGATTTTCTCAGCTGCCAGTCGTGACACTGGAAGAGGAGAAAGAAAGAATGATGGGTAGATGAATAAAAGTGCAGACTGATTTGTTTTTTTATGGCTTATCGACATTTTGGGGTTATTTAAAGCCAAAACATATTTCAGAAGTTTGCTTACTGTACCAGATTTTCCCAAGTGGTCCCCCATCTATGTACTGACTAGGCTTCATGCTGCTTAACTTCCATGATCGAATGATAACTGGTGTTTTCAGCATAATTTGATTGTAGATTGTTATGTATTGTCCCAAGCACTTACAACCACCACTTTAACCATTTTCAAGGGGGTTTGTTTGAGATGTTAATTTCTTTGTGTTGACTGTTTAAGATGTATTGTTTTGAATACTAGTAGCTGTGAGAAAGGCCCTGTATATAAAGCATCTCACTCCCACTATCAACAACCTCCCTCAACAGTGGGAATGGTGCATTAAAATTATATATATATATATATATATATATATATATATATATATATATATATATATATATATATATATATATATCTTTTTTAAAACATCTTTTGTTAAATATGACAGACAAGGGAAATCTCATTTTTTTAAAGTTTTTCCAAAGTTCTTATATTTTTGTGTTTGCTGGAAGTAAGGGAGTACAAAAATTGTCCATATTGTTCATTGTCCCAAGCGCTTTCAGTTACTTCTTTAGCCATTTTCAAGGGGGTTTGTTTTAGGTGTTGTTAGTTTCTCTTCGTGTTTTGACTGTTTAAGATGTATTGTTTTTGTGTTGTTTTGAATACTAATAGCTGTGAGAAAGGCCCTGTATATAAAACATCTCACTCCCACTATCAACAACCTGCCTCAACAGTGGGAATGGTACGTTAAAAGTTTTTTTTTAAAAATAGAAAGACGCTCACTTGAATTCTAGCCACACTCAATAGAGAAAGCTTGGAATAAATGCTCCTACTGCACAAAAATATTACATCTTAAACAAAAATAAAATAAAAATCCTCATATATAAAATAAAATGCTTATATTTAATTTGATAAAGTCCATCAGAGGGCAAAACACGTAGGCTAAGATAAGTTTTCCTTTTGTTTTTATTTGTATGTGCATATATATATATATATATATATAGTAAAGGTAATAAACCCATTAGTATATAATCCAAGTGGATCCTAGTAATATAAAATATTAAAACTGATCCACAAAAAGAGTTCAATGTTTTTATTATAACAGAGCTAATAAATAGTGTTACAGAATAAAATCTGAAATTACCTCATATGGGAAATAGATCTATTTTAACTGACAAAAACTTTGTCAGTCTTATTCAACCCTGGTGTATAGACTGAGTTTGTGTCGGAATTAAATTTAAATTTCTAATTCCGACACAAACTCTATATACCAGGTTGAATAAGACTGCCAAAGTTTTCATTGGTTGAAATAGATCTATCCCCATGAGGTAAATTTTGCATTTGTTATATATATATATATATATATATATATATATATATATATATATATAAAGTATTAATAGACTTTATTTTTTTCAATCTAACATATTTTTATTACTTCAAACCCTATTTTTAGTGTATACCTGTATTTGAGTAGAAACTCCATTTTAATTTATTTTATTTTAAACAGTACTTATTTCATCTATTAGCCGGCACACTAGAGATAATTTATTAATGAGAATCTGCCCTCCAGCAGGATTCGAACCTGCACCTCCCTTTGCAGGAGAAACCACTGTCTGATCCAACTCAACTACAAAGAATTTGACAATTTAGTTGGCTTCTATTTACTTCTAAAGCACACTCACTAGTTCAGATTTTCTTGTAAAGCATATCTGTTCTTTTTCATATCTGAAGTGTAAAGAAAGCAATTCTTAAAGAATTAATGGATTTTGTTTTTTTAATCTGACATATTTGTATTACTTCAAATGTTATTTTTAGTGGATATCCATATCTGAGTGAATGCTACAGTACTGCATACTTGAGAAGGCCAGTAGATGAAATAAATCATACTTATTATAAAACCCAGGTTGTGTGTGTGTGTGTGTGTTCGTTTATATATTGGATCAGATTTCCTACATTTTTCAACCGATTTCAACAAAACTTCACAAGACTACGTAAAATTACCTTGCGGTGGTTCTGACAGTTCCAAAAATTGGAAAAACACAATTGTTTTTGCACAAAATCTATTTGAAAATACAATTAAGAGGCATCGCTGTTGCGAGAATGAAAGGGAGACAACTCATGTTGAGTTATACTTATTATAAAACCCAGGTTGTGTGTGTGTGTGTGTGTGTCTGTGTTCGTTCGTTTGTATATGGGATCAGATTTCCTACATTTTTCAACTGATTTCAACAAAACTTCACTTTTTTTTTGGCAGGTAGTGTTTCTTATTGTCTTGCACACTTTCTTTTCTTTATTTTTACATTCAGAATGCTTTAACAATTCCATTTACAAGACAATTGTTTATAATAAATTTCTATTCAATCGGTAGACTCATAATGATTGAAAACAATGTTTTTGTTCGAGTTTGGGTTTGACCAATTCGTAAAAAAACAAAAAAAAAATAAAAAAAAAATAAAAAAAATAAAACTAATTAAGACATGCATGTCTGTAAACCTTAAACAATAATCTTTGTCAATTTTATTTTTCAGTCTTTATGATGGTCGATACTTGATCTATCTCTTACTGTTACATCCTCGGGCAACGCCGGGCTCTACTGCTAGTATTATTTAAAATAAAAAAAAAAAAACAGTCTATTCAAATACAGGTATCCACTAAGAATAACATTTGAATACATATATACATCAGTGTGAACATAGGTATCAACACTGCATAATGACTGCCAGTTTCACATATCAATGCAATTTTCAGTCACCATACATTTTTCATCTGTATGTCTGTAGCTATAAATGCTCTATCTCTGATATTGAGCACAACTCCCTATAAATAGATAAATTTTTAATAGTAGATTTATATATAGGTTATTCCTTCTCAAATCAACCAATGGTCACAGGGAACTCTCTCAGAAAAATCTGGGGAAATTCACAGGTGTTCCTTGATCAAATTTATTGATAAGTCCCAAATATTAAATCTGTATCTATTAATAACTTTAAAACCAGAGCATCTTGAAATTTCACTGCATTTTTGGTAAATAAGGCTTTCAATGTAAGTCTGATATTCATAGCTCCATGGATATTGCATGTACAGATTTGAAACTTGGTGACAATAGTTAATACTTAGATTATAAAATATAAACAGATTAGGTTTGTCTTGTACTTTTTTATGATGACCTAAAAACAGTGGAAATGCCAAGAGGTAAAAAATGCTGTCCACTTGAGAGCTTTTCAATTTACAAATCATGTCAAATACATCATTCATATTTGTTTTCCTGTCATTTATGACCTAACAAATTATTTCTATGCAGTAGCTATATTCATTCCTGTTATAGGAATGTCAGTATTACTGTTTGAAAATTGATTGATTTTTAACATCATTAAAATTGACTATTTTCATGACATAAGTAGACCAGTTAGACAATTTTTTTTAAAGAAAATTTTTATATTTTTTACTATATATTCTTACATTCTCTGAAGACCATGTGACAGTTTTGTTTTGTGGACAAATGTTTGGCTAAGGTTATAACATATTTTTCTAGAATAACTTATGCCAAAATGATACATTTTCACTATTTTGGCTTGATGTCTTTAAAATTAAAATCTAGTGGAATCCTTATTGCAATGTACTTGGTTTAGATTCTTTGCTCAATTAAAACATTTTCGATCATCCAACAAACCATTTTGAAAAACCCATACCATGTAAAGTATTCAAAACAAAATATTTTTTGTTATTTATTTCACTCCAAGCAAGGCACTAAAGCCATAAAATGCAGAAGGCTACTGAGTATGAAAGAATATAAAAAAAGAAAAAGAAAAGAAAAACATTAACCTTTTAGCATTCAACACATTCAAATCTGCTCTGTAAATATCGGTTCTCAAAGTCTCACTGTTAACATTATTTGCAATTATGTTGTCATATATTATTGCAGAGAGAGAACAATAAAAGAATCTCCTGTTAATTTCCCTCTGAAAGTTCTCCACTGCCTTAACCGGGTATTGAACTCACACTCTTTGGGTCCTGTCACTGGATCTAACCAACGCATTTATCCACTGTGCCATGTGGCCTTGAGGACACATGGCACAGTGGATAAAGATGTGAGTTCCGGTTAAGGCAGTGGAGAACTTGCAGATGCAAATTAACAGGAGATAACTGATAACTGACATCCTGGCATGTGGAACTAGAACAGTCTACCCCAGTGAGCAAAATAAAGGGTTAAATTTGACATTCCAACCACCTGAAGAAGGCCAAAGTGTACAACGGCTGAAATGTTGTAATAAATATGGCGACAAAGATGAGGACAATAGTCCGAATAATGTAAATAATGTACATAATACCTCATCTCAGAAATATAGACAGAAACTTTGTTTATTCTGTTTGTTGTATAGTTCTGTTATTTTGCATTCAACCATGGCTACTTTCTTTAAAATACATTTTTTATTTGGGTTTCATTCACCAGTTTGAAAAAGAAGCACTTAAATTTTGTTTAGTTTTTTTCTTTTCTTTTTTGGTTGTTGTGTGTGTATTTGTATTTGCTCCATTTATTAAGAGCCTGGTGAGAGGTAAGATTTTTTTAAAAAAGTAAATATGTAATTTAAATTAAAATTTTTTTATCAACCCCCCCCCGAAAAAAAATCCAGTATCTTGAATTAAAGTTCTCTCAAACATGACAACGTTAATCCCAACACTGGCTGGAATAGAAAAATATGGTTGAGAGATCAAATGAGAAGTTAAAGGGATCAAGGTTCTTAATCAAGTCATCTGATCACTACCGACAACATCACTGTAATATGTTATGCAATGAGCCTTCAAATGTAGATGTTTTAATACAGTTCCTCTGTTTGACCACTGTGACAGACTGGTAACTTTATAAACATTTTCACAGTCAAATTCACATAATTCTGACATGTACTTAAGTATTGTGAGTACATTATTTGTTTTGCTCTCACTTGACCATGTGTCACCAATGTACTATTATGATCTTCTTTGGTCAAGGCAAATTGTTGAATATGTTCTACTAACATTTATGTTTATAGTAGGTGGGGGGATCATTTCAGATGAGCAAATCAAAATGCAGTTGTTAAAAGATGTTTGTCTCCATACCTGTTTCTCGCATCATTTCTTCTTCTTCTGAAAGCATGTTTAAGGGCAAGTTTTTTGTTACTGTGGAATCAGACATATTGTATGCAGTGGCTGTAGATTCTGGTCGCTGGATCTGACGAAGCCGAGTACAGAAGGGCAGATTGGGTTTCTGTGGGTGCCAGCCTGACAGAGTGCGCTGCACCATCCTCCAGCTGCATGGATGGTGCAACAACTAAAAACAAACAACAAAACAAATTTTTAAACTAGGTAGATCATTAAAATGGATGCATGGGTCACCTAATGGTTATCAATGCAGAAAGTGGAATCAGCAGTCCAAGTTCAAGTTCTGGCATGGTTGACGTGTTTACTTTTACACTAACAACTTTGTGAAAGGCATTAATTCATGTCTTCTCCAATGTACTCAATAGAGGGTGAAAAGCAGACAGCATACTCTATACTTGGGTGGTAGCTAGTCTAGGATGAGAACTTTTGAATTTAAAACCATGAAGAAAGCAATAAGAAACCTTTTCATTTCTCTAGGAAGAATTGATTGATTTGTTTCTTATGGCTTATCAACCTTTTGCAGGTTATTTAAAGCCAGAAAATATTTTTAGATTGTAATAATTTTGGGGAGATAATAATGACTTACTCATATAAGCCCTACTAATTAACTCACAGATATGTTGGAAAAGAAGTGGATTCATGCCTTTCCCAAGGGTATTTGCATGTAAGTGAATATAACATACCTGACAGGAATTTGAACTCAGTTTTCTGGTTTCTAATTCTGAGCTGTTATCTATTACACCACCTGCACATCCAAGCTTACAGCACTTGTTATTCCCAAGCGGTCACCCATCTAGGTACCGGCAATTCATTGTTTACACACACACACACACACACACATATAGTGGACACTCATCGTTGATGGACATGGGCTGTTGACTTGCACCAAACAGGAACCCTTTTATGATGTATGAGGGTCAGGCATCTTCAGTTTCTAGGAACCGATTACTAGACAACCTACACATGATTTGATTATAGTGGTGAAAGTTTTGTGCAGAACCAGCCCCACTTTTTGAAGAGCTGAATACAGAGACCTGGTGCACCATGTGTCACAAGGTCCCCAAATGACCCTCCACAGGTTTTGAATTCAGAGCTGTCCTTCTCCTAGACCAGTGGCTGTTCAAGTCTATAGAAGCCAGTCTGTCCTACTATTTACCCATAGCTGGATACATACCTTTCCCAAGGGCATTAGCACATAAGTGAATGTAATGGATTCAACTGGAATTTAAACTAAGCTCTCCAATTTCTCAATCCGAGCTGCTCTCCATTACTCCACTGTGCCTCGCACTATATATGAATATAAAAGTGTATACCAAGGTCAACACTGAGCTGCAATGGTCTGTTTCATGCTTGAACTCTGTCAACATTTGGTGTTGACCTCATTGTCCACTTTTATATTTTTATATCTACATGTGCTCAATCTGATATTGAGCACTTTTACCCATAAATATACTATACCTTAAAATTATATTTTTATCATATATTATATATATATATATATATATATATATATATATATATATATATAGCAAAACATTGCAGCATCTTATCAGTCCTCTTTAATGAAACTTTTATAAAAGAGGGACTGCTGCTGAAAAAAAAAATTAAATATTTAAACAAGAAATTAATAAATAAAAAAAAAACGGAATGCACATATATTTTCAAAAACTCAAGAAAACCCCAGAATATTCAAGAAAAATAGGAGTCCTGTCTCTTACACAGAAAATAACATTGACTGTCAAAAGATAATGTAACAGAGTCAAAAGATAGAGAAAATAAAATAAAAGGAATAATGAAAGAGTTATCAGGAGACAAGACAATTGTGAACAGAAGTAAAAACCACAACATCCTATACAAGAAAATAATCAACACCAAAAAAAAAAAAAAAAAAAAAAAAAAGTACTTAAATTATTATTTATAACTTAATATAAAAATAACAAAAATGAGAAAAATCAACAGACAATTGATGATACTTCCTGATGAGTGGATTGAACAGTTACACAAAGGTTCATCTGCGAAACTCTGGAGTTGGGGCACTGATTATAGCATCAATCAGTCAAGTGAAAAATGTGATATTTCTATTAATCCTGTGCACACATCCACCCAAATGGGCGCGTGTGCAAATACACACATACACTATAAAAAAAAAAAAAAAAAAAAAAAAAAAAAAAAAAAAAAAAAAAAAAAAAAAAAAAAAAAAAAAAAAAAAAAAAGAAAAAAAGAAAAAAAAAGAAAAAAAAAAAAAAAAAAAAAAAAAAAAAAAAAAAAGAAAAAAAAAGAAAAAAAAAGAAGAAAAAAAAAAAAAAAGAAGAAGAAAAAAGAAAAAAAAAGAAGAAAAAAGAAAAAAAACTTTCAACAATGAAAAGGGCATATAAAAAAGAAAAATTGGGAAGTATAAGCAGTCAGTTATTGATATGCCCTGATGAATGGACAGACAGATAGGTACATTTGGGATGCTAAAGGTAACATCTATCATCTAAGAGAAAAACCTTTTATTTGTATTATATACATATATTTATTAATAAATACACATACTTATGTTTGGTGTGGAACTGAAGTTTTGTCGGGCAAAAATATAGCTTATTGTTTCTTATTAAACAATACCTGATGAGTTGGGTAACCAATGAAAATTACGTTGCACACCAAACATAGGCATATATGTATTTATTAATATATATTTCTTAGCTCTGTCTAACCATATCAAGCACTATTATGTCTACGCCTCTTGGCAAAATTTGGTAATTATTTATTTGCTTACTGTGTATGCAAGCCTACATGTGTGTATACAGTCGCTAATATCTAGTTATTACATTTAACTCTCTCTATTATATATATATATATATATATATATATATATATATAAAATGTAATATCTGTAAAATAATATATAGATATATTATTTATTTTAGGATATTATAAGAAAAACATGTAAGGATCGCTACATAATTGCAGTCATGTTTCAACACATAATGATGCGTCTCCTCAGGAGTCACCTGAGAAGACATATTGTTATGCATTGAAAAACTGTAATTATGTAGTGATCCTTATATGTTTTTGTTGTAATATCCTAAAATAAATAATATTGCTCTATTATGTATTGAGCCCTCTTTTAAATTAAATGTTACAAACATTGGAAGTGCACTCATTGTAGCTGGATATATATATATATATATATATATATATATGCATACATACACACACACACACACACAAACAAGTTTTGTTAACTTCAACTGATGAGGTCAATTTAATTTTTTATTGTATTTTCCAATTATCAAAAAGTTGTATATCAGAATCAAAATTATAAATAAACTGTCCAAAGTTCCTTTTTTTGTATATTAAAGGGTGTATGAAATCTTTAATACACATACAGGAATACCAACATGTATAAATAATTGATACATGTCTTTCCGTTTAACCGTTACATATGATATCATTGAACTGTTTCCAGTTCCTATACCAGTGATCTAAAAAAAAAAAAAAACAGAACAAAATCTTGTCTAAGAAAAAGAAATGAAAGAAAGATTGCTTTATACTGTGAAGAAGAAAAAAGAACAAAATCTTGTCTAAGAAAAAGAAATGAAAGAAAGATTGTTTTATACTGTGAAGAAGAAAAAAGAACAAAATCTTGTCTAAGAAAAAGAAATGAAAGAAAGATTGTTTTATACTGTAAGAAAAAGAACAAAATCTTGTCTAAGAAAAAGAAATGAAAGAAAGATTGTTTTATACTGTGAAGAAGAAAAAGAACAAAATCTTGTCTAAGAAAAGAAAAAAGAAATGAAAGAAAATTGTTTATACTGTGAAGAGAAGAAAAAAGAACAAAATCTTGTCTAAGAAAAAAAAGAAAGATTGTTTTATACTGTGAAAAGAGAAAAGAACAAAATCTTGTCTAAGAAAAGGAAATGAAAGAAAGATTGTTTTATACTGTGAAGAAGAATCTTGTCTAAGAAAAAAGAAACAAAATCTTGTCTAAGAAAAAAAATGAAAAAGAAAAGATTGATTTTTATACTGTGAAGAAGAAAAAGAACAAAATCTTGTCTAAGAAAAAAGGAAATGAAAGAAAGATTGTTTTATACTGTGAAGAAAAAAAAGAACAAAATCTTGTCTAAGAAAAAGGAAATGAAAGAAAGATTGTTTTTATACTGTGAAGAAGAAAAAGAACAAAATCTTGTCTAAGAAAAAGAAATGAAAGAAAGATTGTTTTATACTGTGAAGAAGAAAAAAGAACAAAATCTTGTCTAAGAAAAGGAAATGAAAAGAAAGATTGTTTTATACTGTGAAGAAGAAAAAGAACAAAATCTTGTCTAAGAAAAGGAAATGAAAGAAAATTGTTTTATACTGAAGAAGAAAAAGAACAAAATCTTGTCTAAGAAAAAGAAATGAAAGAAAGATTGTTTTATACTGTGAAGAAAAGAAAAAAGAACAAAAATCTTGTCTAAGAAAAGGAAATGAAAGAAAGGTTGTTTTATACTGTGAAGAAGAAAAAAGAACAAAATCTTGTCTAAGAAAAAGAAATGAAAGAAAGATTGTTTTATACTGTGAAGAAGAAAAAAGAACAAAATCTTGTCTAAGAAAAAGAAATGAAAGAAAGATTGTTTTATACTGTGAAGAAGAAAAAAGAACAAAATCTTGTCTAAGAAAAAGAAATGAAAGAAAGATTGTTTTATACTGTAAGAAGAAAAAAGAACAAAATCTTGTCTAAGAAAAAGAAATGAAAGAAAGATTGTTTTATAAAGAAAATTGTTTTAACTGAAAAAAGAAAGAAAAAAGAAAAATCTTGAAAAAGAAAAAAGAAATGAAAAGAAAGATTGTTTTATACTGTGAAGAAGAAAAAAGAACAAAATCTTGTCTAAGAAAAGGAAATGAAAGAAAGATTGTTTTATACTGTGAAGAAGAAAAAAGAACAAAATCTTGTCTAAGAAAAGGAAATGAAAGAAAGATTGTTTTATACTGTGAAGAAGAAAAAAGAACAAAATCTTGTCTAAGAAAAGGAAATGAAAGAAAGATTGTTTTATACTGTGAAGAAGAAAAAAGAACAAAATCTTGTCTAAGAAAAGGAAATGAAAGAAAGATTGTTTTATACTGTGAAGAAGAAGAAAAAAGAAAAAAATCTTGTCTAAGAAAAAAGAAAATGAAATGAAAAAAGATTGTTTTATACTGTGAAGAAGAAAAAAGAACAAAATCTTGTCTAAGAAAAGGAAATGAAAGAAAGATTGTTTTATACTGTGAAGAAGAAAAAAGAAACAAAATCTTGTCTAAGAAAAGGAAATGAAAAGAAAGATTGTTTTATACTGTGAAGAAGAAAAAAAGAAAAAATCTTGTCTAAGAAAAGGAAATGAAAGAAAGATTGTTTTATACTGTGAAGAAGAAAAAAAGAACAAAAATCTTGTCTAAGAAAAGGAAAATGAAAGAAAGATTGTTTTATACTGAAGAAGAAAAAAAGAACAAAATCTTGTCTAAGAAAAGGAAATGAAAAGATTGTTTTATACTGTGAAGAAGAAAAGAACAAAATCTTGTCTAAGAAAAGGAAATGAAAGAAAATTGTTTTATACTGTGAAGAAGAAAAAGAACAAAATCTTGTCTAAGAAAAAAGAAATGAAAGAAAGATTGTTTTATACTGTGAAGAAGAAAAAGAACAAAATCTTGTCTAAGAAAAGAAATGAAAGAAAAGATTGTTTTATACTGTGAAGAAGAAAAAGAACAAAATCTTGTCTAAGAAAAAAAAGAAAGATTGTTTTATACTGTGAAGAAGAAAAAGAACAAAATCTTGTCTAAGAAAAAAGAAATGAAAGAAAGATTGTTTTATACTGTGAAGAAGAAAAAGAACAAAATCTTTGTCTAAGAAAAGGAAATGAAAGAAAGATTGTTTTATACTAAGAAAAAAAAAAGAACAAAATCTTGTCTAAGAAAAGGAAATGAAAGAAAGATTGTTTTATACTGTGAAGAAGAAAAAAGAACAAAATCTTGTCTAAGAAAAGAAAAAATGAAAGAAAGATTGTTTTATACTGTGAAGAAGAAAAAAGAAGAAAAAATCTTGTCTAAGAAAAAAGAAATGAAAGAAAGATTGTTTTTATACTGTGAAGAAGAAAAAAAAGAACAAAATCTTGTCTAAGAAAAGGAAATGAAAAGAAAGATTCTTTTTTATACTGTGAAGAAGAAAAAGAACAAAAATCTAAGAAAAAGAAATGAAAAGAAAGATTGTTTTATACTGTGAAGAAGAAAATCTTGTCTAAGAAAAAGAAATGAAAGAAAGATTGTTTTATACTGTGAAGAAGAAAAAAAAAAGAACAAAAATCTTGTCTAAGAAAAAAAGGAAATGAAAGAAAGATTGTTTTATACTGTGAAGAAGAAAAAGAACAAAATCTTGTCTAAGAAAAAGGAAATGAAAGAAAGATTGTTTTATACTGTGAAGAAGAAAAAAGAACAAAATCTTGTCTAAGAAAAGGAAATGAAAGAAAGATTGTTTTATACTGTGAAAAAAAGAATAAAAAAAAAGAACAAAATCTTGTCTAAGAAAAAAGGAAATGAAAAGAAATGAATTGTTTTATACTGTGAAGAAGAAAAAAGAACAAAATCTTGTCTAAGAAAAAGAAATGAAAAGAAAGATTGTTTTATACTGTGAAGAAGAAAAAGAACAAAATCTTGTCTAAAAAAAAAGAAATGAAAGAAAGATTGTTTTATACTGTGAAGAAAAAAACAAAATCTTGTCTAAGAAAAAGAACAAAATCTTGTCTAAGAAAAAAGAAATGAAAAAGAAAGAGAAAGATTGTTTTATACTGTGAAGAAGAAAAAAGAACAAAATCTTGTCTAAGAAAAGGAAATGAAAGAAAGATTGTTTTATACTGTGAAGAAGAAAAAAGAACAAAACTAAGAAAAAAATGAAAGAAAGATTGTCTAAGAAGAAAAAAGAACAAAATGAAAAAAAAGTTTTATAAATGAAAAGAAAAAGATTGTTTTATACTGTGAAGAAGAAAAAGAACAAAATCTTGTCTAAGAAAAAGAAATGAAAAGAAAGGTTGTTTTATATGAAGAAAAAGAACAAAATCTTGTCTAAGAAAAGGAAATTGTTTTATGAAGAAAAAAAAGAACAAAATCTTGTCTAAGAAAAAGGAAATGAAAGAAAAGATTGTTTTTTTTATAGAAGAATACTGTGGAAAAAAAAGAACAAAATCTTGTCTAAGAAAAGGAAATGAAAGAAAGATTGTTTTATACTGTGAAGAAGAAAAAAAGAACAAAATCTTGTCTAAGAAAAGAAATGAAAGAAAGATTGTTTTATACTGTGAAGAAGAAAAAAACAAAAATCTTGTCTAAGAAAAAGAAATGAAAGAAAGATTGTTTATACTGTGAAGAAAAAAGAACAAAATCTTGTCTAAGAAAAGGAAATGAAAGAAAGATTGTTTTTTTATACTGTGAAGAAAAGAAAAAAGAACAAAATCTTGTCTAAGAAAAACAAAATCTTGTCTGAAGAAAAAAAAAAGAACAAAATCTTGTCTAAAGAAAATGAAATGAAAGATTGTTTTATACTGTGAAGAAGAAAAAAGAACAAAATCTTGTCTAAGAAAAAGAAATGAAAGAAAGATTGTTTTATACTGTGAAGAAAAAAGAACAAAATCTTGTCTAAGAAAAGGAAATGAAAGAAAGATTGTTTTATACTGTGAAGAAGAAAAAAAGAACAAAATCTTGTCTAAGAAAAGAAATGAAAAGAAAATTGTTTTATACTGTGAAAAAAAAAGAAAAAGAACAAAATCTTGTCTAAGAAAAAAGAAATGAAAGAAAGATTGTTTTATACTGTGAAGAAGAAAAGAACAAAATCTTGTCTAAGAAAAAAGAACAAAAATCTTGTCTAAGAAAAGAACAAAAATAAAAAAGAAAGGATTGTTTTATACTGTGAAGAAGAAAAAAAACAAAATCTTGTCTAAGAAAAAGAAATGAAAAATTGTTTTATACTGTAAGAAAAAAAAACAAAATCTTGTCTAAAATGAAATGAAAGATTGTTTTATTTGAAGAAGAAAAAAGAACAAAATCTTGTCTAAGAAAAGGAAATGAAAGAAAGATTGTTTTATACTGTGAAGAAGAAAAAAGAACAAAATCTTGTCTAAAAAAAAATGAAAGAAAAGATTGTTTTATACTGTGAAGAAGAAAAAAGAACAAAATCTTGTCTAAGAAAAAGAAATGAAAGAAAGATTGTTTTATACTGTGAAGAAGAAAAAAGAACAAAATCTTGTCTAAGAAAAGGAAATGAAAGAAAGATTGTTTTATACTGTGAAGAAGAAAAAAGAACAAAATCTTGTCTAAGAAAAAGAAATGAAAGAAAGATTGTTTTATACTGTGAAGAAGAAAAAAGAACAAAATCTTGTCTAAGAAAAGAAATGAAAGAAAAATTGTTTTATACTGTGAAAAAAAGAACAAAAAAGAACAAAATGAAAGAAAGATTGTTTTATCTGTGAAGAAGAAAAAAAAGAACAAAATCTTGAAATGAAAAGAAAGATTGTTTTTATACTGTGAAGAAGAAAAAGAACAAAATCTTGTCTAAGAAAAGGAAATGAAAAGAAAGATTGTTTTATACTGTGAAGAAGAAAAAGAACAAAATCTTGTCTAAGAAAAAGGAAAGAAAAAAGATTGTTTTATAAAGAAGAAAAAGAACAAAATCTTGTCTAAGAAAAAAATGAAAGAAAGATTGTTTTATACTGTGAAGAAGAAAAAAAAGAACAAAATCTTGTCTAAGAAAAAGGAAATGAAAGAAAGATTGTTTTATACTGTGAAGAAGAAAAAGAACAAAATCTTGTCTAAGAAAAAGAAATGAAAGAAAGATTGTTTTTACTGTGAAAGAAGAAAAAAAGAAACAAAATCTTGTCTAAGAAAAGAAATGAAAAGATTGTTTTATACTGTGAAGAAGAAAAAAGAACAAAATCTTGTCTAAGAAAAAAATGAAAGAAAGATTGTTTTATACTGTGAAGAAGAAAAAAAGAACAAAATCTTGTCTAAGAAAAGGAAATGAAAAGAAAGGTTGTTTTATACTGTGAAGAAAAAAGAACAAAATCTTGTCTAAAAAAAGAAATATTGTTTTATACTGTGAAGAAAAAAAGAACAAAATCTTGTCTAATAAAAGGAAATGAAAGAAAGGTTGTTTTTATACTGTGAAGAAGAAAAAGAACAAAATCTTGTCTAAGAAAAGAAATGAAAAGAAAGGTTTTTTTTAAACTGTGAAAAGAAAGAAAAAAGAACAAATCTTGTCTAAGAAAAGGAAAAAAGGTTATTTTATACTGTGAAGAAAAAAAAGAACAAAATCTTGTCTAAGAAAAGAAATGAAAGAAAGGTTGTTTTATACTGTGAAGAAGAAAAAAAACAAAATCTTGTCTAAGAAAATGGGAAATGAAAAAGGTTGTTTTTACTGTGAAGAAAAAAAAGAAAACAAAATCTTGTCTAAGAAAATGAACCCGAAATTTGAAAAGAAATTTTTAAATGAAGAAGAAAAAAAAGAACAAAAATCTTGTCTAAGAAAAAAATGAAAAAAAGGTTGTTTTATACTGTGAAGAAGAAAAAAGAACAAAAAATACTGTGAACAAGAAAAAAAACAAAATCTTTCTAAAAAAAAGAAATGAAAGAAAGGTTGTTTTATACTGTGAAGAAGAAAAAAAACAAAATCTTGTCTAAGAAAAAGAAATGAAAGAAAATTTTTTATAAACTGCAAGAAAAAGAACAAGAATACTAATGAAAATGAAAAAAAAAGATTTTTTATACTGGAAAAAAAAACAAAATCTTTCATTTCAAATGAAAAAATTTTGTTTTTACAAAGAAAAAAAAAAAATCTTGTCTTGTTTTTTATACTTGAAAAAAAAGAAAGGTTGTTTAAAGAAAAAAAAGAACAAAAATGAAAATAAGCTATTACTATCCTTGAAAAAAGAAAATTCATAAAACAAAGTTGTTTTGCACTATACAAAAGAAAAAAAAAAGAGAAGTTGTTTTGCACTATACAAAAGAAAAAAAAGACCTTTTTTCAGAAGAAAATAATAAAAATAAATGAAAAAAAAAAAAAAAAAATTAATTACCTTTTTAAAAAGAAAAGTTGCTTTACACTAGGTACTGCCATTAATTTCTGATACTTTGGTTTAAAATGAATTTCTATAAATGAAAAATTTTGAATTTTTCATTTTAGCTTTAATTGAAAGCTAAAGGATTAAATTTACTATTTCCAGTAAACAAAATCAATATTTTTCACTGGAAAAAAAGTTTTTAAAAAATTTCTTCAGCAAAAAAAAATCATACTGTTTTTTTGACGAAAAAAGACAAGATTTTTACAAATTTTGTAAAATGGATTAAAAAATTTAAAAAAAAAAAAAAAAAAATCTTTCTTTTTAAGATAAAAAAGTTTGGGGCCTTTCTTCATCATGCTATACTGTTTTTTTAATGAAAAAGTAGTTTTACACTGTAGAAAAGAAAAAAAAGAAGAAAAATAGTAAAGAAAAGAATGGTTGTTTTAAGAAAAAAGAAGGAAAATAAAAAAAGTCGTATCACCATTAAAAAAAAGAAAAAAAGAAAAAAAGAGAAAATTAAAAAAGAAAAAGGTTGCTTTACACTGTACAAAAGAAAAAAAAAAGAAAATATTCAAGAAGCAAAAAAAATGAAAAAGTCTATTATCCTTTAAAAAAATAAAGAAAGGTTTTTTTTACACTGTGATGTAATAATTTGCATAAATTATTTACAAAAAAAAATCTCTATTTTCAAATTACTAACAATCAGCTAATTATCCAATTTCAATAAAAATGTCTCCTTCTTATTCATTTATGAATAAATTTATTTACAAAGAGCGATTTTGTAAGAAATGTTTGTAGAAAACATTTTTATAACTAGAAACATAATATTTGGTAAGTATATGTGTTTGAGTAGACATTTCAGTTTTTTTTTTTTAAACAGTGAATTTAATGTTAACCTTCCTAGAGGTCAAAAGTCTTACAAAAGAAAAATGTGCCTCCCAACACAAATTGAACCTGCATTCCTGTTTTCCATCAAGGAAACAAGCTAAACACAGTTTCCCTATATGAAAAGTCAGGTGTCTCAATCTCTAGGCTAGTAGCCATTAATTTCACTACACTAATGTTTCATAATAATAATAATTGAATTAAGATGGGCTCCAGTAAATATCACAATTGTTACTACAGTTTTGCTAGTCACTTGTTTGACTATAACTAGTTGGGTATATTCCTTTAGTAGTGGATGCACTGGGCATCTGTTCACGAGCAAGAGTAATGGAGAAGCATTGTAGCCAGGTGACAAGAGGGTGGTTAAGTTTGAAGGACAAGCCAGCCAAGTTGACTTGAGATACTTGAGAATATCCTCAATTGGAGACTGAGTAAACTCAGAGTTACCTAACCTGATAGTATTTCTAACTGCACTGCTTTTATCAAAATGTGTTATCATCATTATTATGCACATTTGGCTGTAAAACATGTGCTTGGTATATGCTTATTGGACTAGGGGCCATGAGGTGCATACTGGACTTCAGATATTTCTACTCCAGAGTCACCTTGTTGGAATGCTACTCTCTCAAATAATAACTAGTTGTAACCATAAAAAATTTAGTTAACAAGGTTGACACTTGAGGAATTGTTTTTACATTTTAAGAGAGATAAATTCATTAAATACCATACAGTTATATACTGCATATTGTGTTATAATAATAATTTATTAAACTGATTTTGATAACACTTATTGCTTTTAATCATATACAGCAGGACCCATTGAAATTCCACAGATTTTGTTAATTTTTATGGTTGAAACTAGTCATTTTGTGTTATTAAATGTGTAAAAGGTGAGAACCTATTGTCTAGACAAACTGGAAAAAAAAAAAAAAAAAAAAAACCAGAATGAAAAAGAATTTTAACAGATTCCACGGTGCCAGAAATTTACCAATTCTAAAAAGAAGAGATAGAATTAAAATAAAATTGGATAAAAGAAAAATATATTGCAACACTAAAGGAACGATTAAGTCAGCAGACACTAGCACCAGGTTGTATATTCTGATAACTAATTGAGGTAATTTCCAAAGAAATAGGAAACATATTTCATTTCCTGGTTTTGAAAATAGACTTTTGAGAAAGAAAGCAATTAGTGATCATTACAAGGCAACCTTTTTTTGGCCATGGCCATTCCCCACCCCCATGACATATAATCCTTATTATTCAAAAAGCAAACTCTTATTCACATGGTAGAAGCCTAAAATATCATTAACTTAACTTCCCTTAAGAACTTCAGGCTGTATATATGAAATAGTATTATCATTTAATTTTACAATGTTACAATATTTATAAAATTATTGTGTTACATATGTAACACTGAGCTGTCAGCCTGTGATCAGCTCCCAGTTGTGGCGCGAAGCTGTAATGTTTCTTCCACTGGCGTTTTGGTGTGGACTCTTAGTCGCTGACATCAACCTGTGTCCCAGTTGATTGGTGGTCATCGCTACTCAGCAGAATCCCTTTGTCAGGATACCAATATCTGACACTGGCCTGTCCAGGGTCGAATTCTGGTCATTGATGTTAACGGCTTCACACCAGCTGTACTGGTTCGATACCAGTTCTGTCGTTCCCAGCTCACTTCCAATGCCTGGTTACCGAAGTAACTGCTTCAATCTCAAGTCTAACCTACCCACGTTGTGATTTTGATCTTAGGTAGATGAGATCAATCAGAAGTCAGGCCATAGTATAAGCTGTGTCCAGACTGAAGGTGATATTGCACAAGTGTGAAGAAAAAGAAGCAAATAAAAGAAAACCCAAGAGGTTCAAGTATGTTAAGAAATAACAAATTAACTTTATCCGTCTGTTATATACAGGAGTGTGTTTCTCTCCCAGCCCGTTTTCTACGGAATGTGACACTTTTACGTTACAAGCAAGTTTTGGTATCTTAAATCAACTGATTTAGTTCTTAGGTGCTGGCTTGGCTTCGTTCATCAGTATAACTTGCTATTGGTAGGATAGGCGAAGTCGGAAGTCGTGGAATCTCTCGGTCAGCTTCTGCGAGGCAACACTCTGGTTCCTACTACTTGAACTGAACTGACTCGACTGTCAAACGGCCCGAGGATGTTTGTTTATATGGGTGCCGACCAAAACTCGGTGCGGGGCCAGATGTGGCCTGGGGTTCTCGGTAAATCTCAATTCCCAACAAGAAATCTCTTTATTGTCAGGCCAGGAAAATTGATTACTTTCCATTTTTTTTTGGCAGGGGGGGTCTCCCTCGTGCATGAGGGGAGGTTGGAAGAGAGTTATCCTCCTAAGCTCTTCCTCTCTCACATTGATATCTCATACCAATCTCTTCAGTGAGCATTAATAACTTCTCCGTCCTTCTCATCCATTCACCTCCACCTATCACCATTGCCATCACTTGACCAATGGCATCCCGGCCGTGCAGGTGTGGCTAAGCTGACCTCCTTAAAATTATAACCCAGAATTTTTGTTTACAAAATTCTCCTTTTTCCCCCATTGGCCAAAATTTTTACGAATCCCATATTGCCACTTAAAATCTATCATATCTTTTGGTCACTCTTTACCAATTCCATCAATCACTGTCAAAGTTTGCCATCTGGTCCCTTCATGAAGTTAGCTTATACTGGAAACCTTGGCTTCTTGAGAAATTAAATTCTTTATCTCACCAAATCACAATTCTTTCACTCTATCTTTTCTCCTGCCCAAAATTTTACAATCACCATATTGCTACTCAGCGTCTGAAAGCAACACCTTGGTAAAGTAAATAATAATGGTCCTCTCCACCTGTATCGAGACAAATGCCAAAATTTTATAATCACCATCATTGCTTTTCCTTGCCAGCACTCAAGAAAAAAAAAATGATATGGAAAGATAATTAATATTGATTCTCCCTACCCTGTACAGGCAATCATCTCAGGCCAAAATTTTTATGACCACCATGTGGTCTGCCTGATATCTTAATGCTTTGTTTATCTTTCTGAATTCTCCCATTTCTCTCAGCAAGGCACTTCTTTACAACAATATTAATCAATTTGATAAAATTGCACATATGGCTTTTTCTACGTGTTTACTGTCTTTTGTGAAATGTATCTTTTTCATAAATAAAATAAAATTTCTTTTAGCATCAAACGGTATATCTTTCGGGATAACTTCTTTCCACCTTCAGTATTTCCTGTTTTAATTTCTATGGTTAATTAGTTAGCCAATTGCCATAGCTAAATAGTGTCCCACATATCCATTATATATATATATTATATACAGTACATACTTAATTTCCCATGTACATACATACACAAATATTTTTATATATGCATACTTTTTATGCACCATATTTATTAAACCTCACTAAAAAAAAAAAATAATCACTGTTAATAACCCATTCTTGAATTGTCTCCTTAAAAATCAAATTGTTGCATGTTGGGAACTACGGCTCTAAGATATTTGTTTATTTTACAAAGTGAGTGAGTTATCGCCCTTTGACTGTAACCAAAACAAATTTTGATTTGTAATTTTTTTATTTTGTAATTTGGAAAAATTAGAAATTATTTAATAAAGAAAGTAAGAAATTACTTTCGGAAGGGAGATGTTTTATAACATCAATAATAATGATAATGATTTATAAGCATTTCTGGTCCCACTTAGGAATGCTGGGAGCAAACAAATCAAATGGCAGTTTGAATAAAATGGTTAGTGCTGTAGCATATACCTATAGATGGTGATAGCTATGTCCCCATTCACATAAATACAGTAGTAAATATATGTCGAAGGACAGTCTTGTCTCAGGAAACAGCTACCTGACCCCATTTTATATGGGGTCTACAGCCACATACTTTTTAGTAGAGCCTGTGCGTAATTAATGGATATCCCACAAATAATTTGTTCCTTGTGCCACATCTGACCATGTGGGGGCGTTTGACAGATATCCTGCAGTTGGAGATTCGTCTCCAGCTGTGCTGGTTTTATCTGCCTCTGGGCAGAGAGGTTTCCCAGATGACTTTATGTCAAAGGGCAGAGTCTCGTCGGGGAAACAGCTAGTTGACCCGTTTTTATATGTCTATGAAGAAATTTTTGATCGAGGACTCAAAATCGGATACCCTCACATTAAATTTGGCCTATATCCTGCAGTTGGAATAGAATTTTCTGGACTTTCTAGCAGTTGACTAATTCTAGATGCTGCTGGCAAATTTTATGTGTTGTTCTTGTCCTAAGTATTATTGTTCATTACCAACCTTCATTTGATTATTCAATAACCTTCCCTAGATTACAACAGTTATTGAGTTTAGCATGTTTCATATCGTCTTTGTTTTTTTTTCAGCAGCCAGTCTCATAGTTTATCTTTTTACCCTAGCCCAGTGGAACAGTGTACTTCATAAACCAATTCACTGAAGCAGACATTAAATGCATGTGGGTATTATTGCTTCCTTTATCTTCTGTTTTTGTCTTTCTTTCGAAAAACACATGTACATATATTTAATGTACCCCAAAATAAGGATTGCTGGGAATTTAAAGAAAATGATTAGAGATTTACATTCAGCATTAAAAGAATGTAAAAGTAAAAATTTGAGGATAGGGAAAGACATAATTACCAGTGGGTGTA